TACAAGGCCCTTTACACAAGGCAAATGATGAATTAGGGATGCAACTGACAGTTATTTCCAATATCCATTAATCTGACAATTATTTTCTCAATTAATCAAAGTGGTTAATAAATCATGCCCATCAGTTTTCTAGAGCTCAAGTTGAGCCACAAATTACTTATTTTTTCTGAACCAACAGTCCAAAACACAAAGATATTCGATTTACAATGATGTAAAAAAGGAAAGCAGCAAATTCTCACATTTAAGAACGAAAGTGAGTTATTGGCACTTTTTCCTGTCAAAAAATTATTGATCAATTATCAAAATTGTTAACAATTGATGTTAGAGATATTCCAGTACTGAATACTGAACCAATACAAATATAAAAATCAGTAAAAACTTTTTTTGTTTTAACAGCTGCACACTATTATATGATGTGATATGATTGCTGTCATTCTTGTATGGCATGACTCATCAGAANGCAGCAGTGGAAGAAGCTCTGAAAAGAAAAAGTAGCAATGGTATAACATAATAATAATCCATTACATGTAAAAGTCCTGCATTCAAAATCTTACTAAAGTAAAAATGTGAAGTACTATCAGCAAATTTTACTTTAAAGTATCATTATACAGCAGAATGGTCCCTGTCAGTGTTCATAAAATTATTTTGTTGGAAACACTTTAGTTACTTTATTCCCAGTAAATAAACATTCACTAAATGGTTTATGACACAGTGTAATGCAATTATAAGCAGTTATGCTAAGGACATTTTAAGTGTTATCAATGTACGGAATTTGTCAACAATATTCAATCAATCTCAGGAGTTGCAGTAAATGTTAGCTAATAATGTTGGCTGATAAAATGACAAGAAATTAAAGAACAGAAATACCAAAAATATCTTTTGCAACAGTTCTATAGTTTGTCCACCAGAGAGCAGTAGACAAGTTTACTGGTAAGTCCTGCCCAGTGCGTTTTTTGGTCTGAGTTTACAAATTTGAGAGAACCTTATCAAAAATATACTCCAGTACTGCCTCAGTTTAATTATAATAGTGACTTCATTATGGATTAATCTCCTGATTGTTTTCTTGATTGTTTGATTTGTAATAATTCTGAAAACAATGAGAAATACCCATCACAATTACCTAGAGCTACCAGTGGCACCCTCACAATGCTTTGTTTTGTCAAACCAATAATTGGTACCTCAAAATTATTAAAATTAATTTCTAATTTAATAAACAACATGAAAAAATGTAAATAATTTAAAGCAAAGGTAGCAAATCCTTACATTTGAAAAGTCATGATATGTGTGGCATCTTTGCATAAAGAAAATGGCCTAAAGAATTAATGTTTTAGTTGCAGATTAATTTTCTGTCAGTTGACAAATTGTTGCAGCTCTACTTGTATTTACTGTTAGATAGTTTAATTTATAACAAAACATCATATTTTATAAACTCTCTACATGTTTTGTATGCTAAAATCTTAATTTGTTAAGTAAGTATTTGTTAAGATTTAGCTGTAAATTAATATCCATCTACAAAAAAAGTAAAGAAGCATAAAATGGAAATGCAAAAAAAAATGTAAGTGCAGTGCTTGAGTATATCCACCACTGCCTCCGGTTAATGGCCTGCTATTTTAAATGTTTCTGTCAATTCATTTTTAATGCTTTTATTTTTATTTTGTTATTAATTGGCGAGTGGGCGTGGCTTTAGATCTCTGCCCTCTGATTGGTCAGTTCGGCGCTGTCCTGTGCAGTCGTGAGGACGGGTCGTGTTGATTTCAGAAGTCATCATGGCGCTCACTTCCCCAGTCAAAGGTAAAGAGGTGTCTTTTTCTAACCTTAGCTCGCAAGCCGATATGCGATCAGCCGTTTACCCTTAACGGACGGGAATCGAATAAAAAAGATATCCTATACCTGAAAAGAACTGCCGTTTGCTTTCAGTTAACGTTACATAAAGTGTACCGGCGTCAAACTGATAGAGACAGAAAGCTAACAGTAGCTAGCATCGTTAGCCTTACTATACAACTAACCAAGAGCTGTTAAATTAACCTGTTTTGTAAGCCAGAGGTGTCTTTGCTCTGCTCAGAATGACACAATAACCTTTCCAGCTAAGCTTAAATTGGGTGTTAATTACCTTGCTTTTTATTATCTCCTCGAGACGTTCAGCTAGTAGCACGATAAGTAGCGAGAGTGTGCTTCGCGATAAGGAGCAGCGTTAGCAGCGTGAACCTTAGCTGGTCCTCCATACCTTGTCATCAGGACTCCTGCACAGATGATCTCATGTATGAAGGTGTTCATAGACAGCACTGTCATCATCACCATGTATAATTCTTGCACCAAATCAGCTTGTCATTGCAATGCGTGGTTTCACTTTAATTAATCACAGGGACAGTGTAACAACAAGATGAGATTTTCTTTTACATCTATGACCCGTTTGTCTCTGTTGTCAAAGCACAAAACCCAAATAACAGCACAGCATTGAGTCAGTTTTGTAATAGTGTTTCTGTCTTATTATAATAGGGATTTCACCTTTCACCTATATCTAACCCTGCTGCTTTTTCAGTGAGGTTCCCATAAGGTTTTATCTCCAAGGGATCTCAGTAGTGATCAGCCACTGTTTTCATTGTGTTGTGTTTCATGTAGTACCGTGTATTTTCCATTCTGCATGCTTTGCATTAGGTTAAGTGTTTTAGTTTTTGTGTACAGTTAATTAAAATAGGTGACCATCAGAACTGTCCCTAATAAATGTGATGCAGGAAAATGTATGGTTTAGGTTGTCATGTGAAAAGTAAGGAATCATCAGAGCGACCTGCACGCTGCCTGTGACTAATCTGACCAAAAGAAGCCAAATTGTGTAGAAAATGTTAAATGTATGATTTGGCAAGCCTGAATATATGGACATATTTGCTTTAAATGTTCCAATCATTCTGCCATATGAATGTAGCATGAGTTTTTAAACTTAATTCCTTGCCCCTTCTAACAAAAGTGTCATTTAAATTGGTTTATTATCAGAGTTTTAGGAATCAGACTGAACCACTGCCATTATTTGTGCTGACATTTCTTTTCCAAGTAATTGTTAGGGCCTTGACTTTCACCTCTACATGCCCTCATGATTGATTGCAGGGTTGCAGGATTGTTCTTGAGGACATTGTTCCTTTTTTTGTATTTATTCAGTAAATACACATTCAGGATTTGCGAAACCAAAAACTACTCAGCATGCTTTATATTAAAGACATTTTTGGGGCTAGTCCAGCGTTTTTCTACGCAGTTTCAGTCTCACATTAAAAGCCAGTAACCTGAGAGCCAGAGTTACAGCATGATGTCCTGTTGAGAAACCAGAAAGTAATGCCAAGACTCAAAAGATTATGGTGTCCATAGTGGCTCAGCATTTGCTTAGCTTAGTTTTTACATCAAGCCTTAATGGGGGATTTTCATCAACATTAAACAGCTACAACCTGAATTTACCAACATCCAAACCTGCCATCTTTGAGCCTGCACTGTCATGAGATACCAAACTGTGATTTTATACTAATCTGATTCATCTGATAAATTAAAATGGGGCAATTTATTTTATGTCACTGCAGCAATTTTTCTTTTCTTTAACCCTTTGTGTTAAGGTAACAACATCCTGCATGGCTTAACTTTACTACACAGAAAGACCACAAAGGAAAGAACGAGACCAGAGAGATGTCTTCTCTTTTCTCTGCATTTGTATTCTGCCCTGAAATGTACTTTGAATAACTTTTCATAGTTATCTTTGTTATTTTTGTTATATTTTTGTTATTAAGTTTGGCTGTTTTTCAGACCAACTGCTTGGCTACTAATAACCATTAATACTACATGGTATGTAATAAGCCAGTTGTAAGGATGATGTGAATAAATGCTACGAAAAAATGTAGGCTGTCCCAATTTCTTAGTGGTGGGTGAATGTCAGTAAGGTGGTTAACTGTCCAAAGCACCAAAAAGCAGATTTGAATCGATCATATCTATACATTTTCTGGTCTTGTAACACATGTTTGACTTGTGCGAGTTGTTTTTTTGTTTTGTTTTTTGATAAATGTTTGTTTGCCGCCCTGCAGAGCACCCATATAGTCATCTAATCGACACACTGAAAGATGGCAAGATCAAGTTCTTCAACCCACAGAAATTAAATGATCCAAGATATGGTGAGTTTAGGTCCTCTGACTGAAAGAAAGTGCAGAGAGATTTTAAACACGTTCTCCCTCTTCTCAGAGCTTTTGCATGAAGTATTCATTTTACTGCAATCTGCAAAATGCAGTTTTTTAAAGGACACTGTACAGTAGAAATGTGTCAGCATATTGTACAGTACAGTGCAGAGTATAGGTATGTTTACCACTGTTTTTTCCAGGATAGCAGTGTAAAGTATTTATGTAAAAGGTCTTAAAGAACATTTGTAAATATACCTGAGTGTGTGTTTACAATATATCTGAGTGCACACCCAGTTTGACAGTCATGGACAAAGAAGTTTTAATGAACAATTAAATTTAAGTGCATTACATTTACTGAGTGAAATTAAACGTCACCACGACTTCTGTGTTTGCTCCGTGTAGACAAGCTGCCTCTGTCCATCCGCGTCTTACTGGAGGCAACAGTTCGTAACTGTGATGGCTTTTACACGAAAGAAGAAGACGTCCAGAACCTCTTGGACTGGCAGCAGCAGCAGAGTAAAGCCGAGGTGCCGTTCTCTCCAGCGCGAGTCCTTCTCCAGGACTTCACGTGAGTCTCAAAGGGTTTACATCAAACCAGTCCTCTGTGCTATAAGACATAAGAAAATCAGGCATCAGGCAATCTCAGATCGAGACAGTTTGTTATATGATTTGTGTCAGTAAATAAAATGAGTGAGATGTTATAAGTTTCCTTTTCCTTTACTAGAGAAGTCGGAGCAGATGGCTGAGTGATAGGTTGTGGGCAAAGCAGCTGATCCACTTGGTTATGGATGTATAATCATGGACTTTCTTTGTGCTGACGTTTGGCTTTGATTGTCATCTTCTTCTTCTTCTTCTTCTTCTTTCCTTTGACAGTGGTATTCCTGCCATGGTGGACCTGGCAGCCATGAGGGATGCTGTTGCCAAACATGGCGTGGACCCCAGCCTGGTCAACCCTAAATGCCCCACAGACCTCATTGTAGACCACTCATTACAGATTGATTACAGCAAATGGTGTGTTTGCATTTGTATTTTCCCTTTATACATTAAATGAGTTTTTTTATTTTTTTTTTAGTTAAGCAAGAACGCTGATCTGCTTTATCAGTCTTTCTCTTTTGAATCTATGTCCACAGTGCCATACAGAATGCTCCAAACCCCGGTGGAGGGGACGGTCCAAACCAGAGCCAGGGTCCTTCTCGTTCCACACCCTCCAGGCCTCCGTCCAGAGGGGGCTCACACTGTGGAGGCCAGCGGGGCACGTGTAGTAAAGCTGCTTGCAATGACCCTCCGGCCTCCCCGGGTCGACCTCCAGCCTCTGTCCAGCAGATCGAGAACACGCCTCTCCTCTGCCCTTTCCACCTGAAGCCTGTGTCTGAGTAAGTTGTGAAGGACGGGTACAATGTTTTTAGATTGTGGTGAAGGAGTGTTGGATGTGAGTAGTTCTGTATTTGTTTCATTCAGTTTTAAGTCAGAAAAATGATTGAATTATGTATGGAGGTGTAGTGCATGCATTGTGCTTCTGTAATTATGCAACTTGTCAGAGACTCTTTTGTTTATCTTAGTTCCATGTTTCATATTTATAGACATTTCATCACTTGCTAATCAATGTCACAACTGGGGTCAGGTCAAAAGGGGGTCAGGTCAGATGACTCAGCATATTATCAGTGATTGACACTGAGTTCCCTTTCAGCAGTTTGCTCTTGTTGATTTTGTTTTGTTTATTTCTACAGAACTGAAACAGCTTTGAAAAACCAGGAAATGGAACTGATCAGAAACAAAGAGCGGCTTCAGTTCTTCAAGGTCTGGCAAAGAGCAAATCTGTTTTTATTACATCATGTTAGACAGTCAGAGGGTGAGAAGTGTCTGAGTGGGAACTGAGGGAAGTTTTGTATTGTTGTACTCTTTGACACTTAGTCAGATGCTTTTATAACAAAAGAAAAAAACTTTGGAAAGATCATGGAAATATTTCGTAGCTTTAAATTAAAAGTTAAGGGTACTTCTGTTTTAGAGAAAAGCAAAAAGTTTTCTCACTGTTGCTGTTTTCCTCTCTGTCTGCCAAACAGTGGTGTTCTAAAGCTTTCAAGAATGTGAACGTGGTTCCTCCGGATGTTGGTGCAGTCCACCAGGTGAATCTGGAGTATCTGTCCAGAGTGGTCCAGGTCAGGGATGGTTTCATCTACCCTGACAGCGTGGTGGGAACCGACTCCCACACCACGATGATCAACGGCCTGGGCATTCTGGGCTGGGGTAAATCTTTTTAAAACTTTAACAGCTGTTGACATTTGGTGTAAACATGTGTCAGCCAGTCAAGCTGCTCAAGAATTGTAATTTACAACCGCATCTGATGGTTGTTACTCTTCTGAGGTGTGAGGAGAGACAATGAAATAAAGATAGAGAATTAAGAGTGAAGGTAGGGCAGAGCTCATCCTAAGAGGAAATCAAGAAATGTCTAAATACATTGTGAAAGAGCTGCTATGAAAACCCCTTTCTGTTGATTCACTCCAACATGTTGCCGCCTTCCTCCACCAGGTGTTGGGGGAATCGAGTCAGAAGCGGTGATGCTGGGCCAGCCAGTGTCTCTGACTCTTCCTCAGGTGGTGGGCTGTAAACTGGTGGGCTCCATCAACCCCCTAACCACCTCCATAGACGTCGTCCTCGGCATCACAAAGGTAACGCTGCTCTGCTGCCCTGAATGTGTTATGAGGAATGAACCTGTAAAAATATACACAGGAGGTCTGTGGTAGGAAAGTTTTATCACTGCAAACTGCAAGAACTGAAAGTAAAGTGAACTGTAAGTGTAACTGTAGAGATGTGTTATTAAAATAAAAGTCAGTGAGTAGTGATGTGTTACATGCTTTGATTTTTCCAGCACTTGCGGCAGGCTGGGATCGCTGGAAAGTTTGTAGAGTTTTTTGGACCTGGCGTCTCCCAGCTCTCCGCCCCTGACCGAACCACCATCGCCAACATGTGCCCAGAGTACAACGCCACTGTTAGCTTCTTCCCTGTCGACCAAGTCACACTCAAGCACTTTAAAAAGACAAGTGAGTGCTACCTGCAGAGTTTTTCTTCACAGCTACAGAACAGTGCACTGAATCTCATCCACACTTTTAATGTTGGAGTTATTCTTAGTGAAACAGCTCAAACGCTCTGCCTTAATTCACCAGTTCTCTTCTTCTAACTGTTAACTGCTAACATTTACAAAGAGTCATTTTTATAACAATGTACTGTCTAAGACGATACCATCAACAGATTATCACCTGATTCAAAATCTAATCTGACATTCTCTTTTCAGACTTTACCCAGGAGAAACTTGAATTGCTGGAATCTTACATGAAGGCTGTAAAACTTTTCCGATGCTTTGAAGACCCATCAGAAGACCCCCAGTATTCTGAGGTAATTTTTACGCATGAATCCCAGGTATATACTGCCTGGCAGTTGATGCTATATTATTTCTTAGGCTCTGGAATATTTATCTGCAATAGTGAAGTGCAGTAAAGAGTTATTTCCTCCTGGGTAGGACATTTTATCATCTTGTTTGATTAAAAACAGAGAAGAGATGATGCTTCAACAGTCCTAATATGTTGTTTATGAGGAATTTAATTGTTTTATAAGTCCAGAAAAGTAGTATATATATAGTATATATACACATACAGTATCTCACAAAAGTGAGTACACCCCTCACATTTTTGCAAATATTTTATTATATCTTTTCATGGGACAACACTATAGAAATGAAACTTTGATATAACTTAAAGTAGTGAGTGTACAGCTTGTATAGCAGTATAGATTTACTGTCCTCTGAAAATAACTCAACACACAGCCATTAATGTCTAAACAGCTGGCAACACAAGTGAGTACACCTAACAGTGAACATGTCTAAATTGTGCCCAAACTGTCAATATTTTGTGTGACCACCATTATTATCTAGCATTGCCTTAACCCTCTTGGGCATGGAATTCACCAGAGCTGCACAGGCTGCTACTGGAATCCTCTTCCACTCCTCCATGATGACATCACGGAGCTGGTGGATGTTAGACACCTTGCGCTCCTCCACCTTCCGCGTGAGGATGCCCCACAGGCGCTCAATTGGGTTTAGGTCTGGAGACATACTTGGCCAGTCCATCACCTTTACCTTCAGCTTCCTCAGCAAGGCAGTTGTCATCTTGGAGGTGTGTTTGCGGTCGTTATCATGTTGGAAAACTGCCCTGCCCAACTGCCCTTGTGTTTACCTTAAATTAAAGTTTCCGGAGGGAGGGGATCATGCTGTGCTTCAGAATGACACAGTACATGTTGGAATTCATGTTTCCCTCAATGAACTGCAGCTCCCCGGTGCCGGCAGCACTCATGGAGCCCCAGACCACGACGCTACCACCACCATGCTTGACTGTAGGCAAGACACAGTTGTCTTGGTACTCCTCACCAGGGTGCCGCCACACACGCTTGACACCATCTGAGCCAAACAAGTTTATCTTGGTCTCGTCAGACCACAGGACATGGTTCCAGTAATCCATGTTCTTGACTGCTTGTCTCAGCAAACTGTTTGCAGGCTTTCTTGTGCATCAGCTTCAGAAGAAGCTTCCTTCTGGGACGACGGACATGCAGACCGATTTGATGCAGTGTGCGGCGTATGGTCTGAGCACTGACAGGCTGACCCCCCCACTTCTTCAACCTCTGCAGCAAATCAGGCAGCACTCATTCGTCTATTTTTTGAAAGCCAACCTCTGGATATGACCCTGAACAGGTGGACTCAACTTCTTTGGTCACCCCTGGCAAGGCCTGTTCCGAGTGGAACCTGTCCTGGAAAACCGCTGTATGATCTTGGCCACCGTGCTGTAGCTCTGTTTCAGGGTGTTAGAAATCTTCTTATGGCCTAGGCCATCTTTATAAAGAGCAACAATTCCATTTTTCAGAGAGTTCTTTGCCGTGAGGCGCCATGATGAATATCCAGTGACCAGTATGAGAGAGAAAACACCAAATTTAACAGCCCTGCTCCCCATTCACACCTGAAACCTTGTAACACTAACGAGTCACATGACACCAGGGAGGGACAACGACACAATTGGGCACAATTTGGACATGTTCACTGAGAGGTGTACTCACTTGTGTTGCCAGCTGTTTAGACATTAATGGCTGTGTGTTGAGTTATTTTCAGAGGACGGTAAATCTACACTGCTACACTCACTACTTTAAGTTATATCAAAGATTCATTTCTATAGTGTTGTCCCATGAAAAGATATTATAAAATATTGGAAAAAATGTGAGGGATGTTACTCAGTTTTTGTGAGATACTAATATATATATATATATATATATATATATATATATATATTGGAAGTTCTCTCATCGTGGCCACATTTGCTAAAATTAGCCAAGAGTGCAGCAGTTGAGGCCCTGATTTGCATAATAATGTGAAATAAAAAGTATTGTTTGTCTGTGCAGGTGATTGAAATCAACCTGAGCTCCATGGTGCCCTATGTGAGCGGACCAAAGAGACCTCAGGACCGAGTGGCAGTCTGCAGCATGAAAGAAGACTTCCAGAGTTGTCTCGATGAGAAGGTAACAAAAAAGAAGACCCTTCTAATGTCTACTACTAAACTCTGTCAATCTTCAGACTAATTATGATGCTGCAGATGCGTCGTTGACGTCTTGTTGTTACCTGATAGCTGACAGTTATTTGTTTTCTTCTGTCCCTCTGTAGGTGGGTTTTAAAGGCTTCCACATCTCCAAGGAGAAGCAGGACACCCGCATCCCTTTCCTGCATGGTGGTCAGGAGTACCAGCTGGCCCACGGCTCTGTGGTCATCGCTGCCGTTATCAGCTGCACCAACAACTGCAACCCTTCTGTCATGCTGACTGCAGGTAAAGGACTCAGTTAAAAAATAGGCTATGATCACATTTTCCCTGAAAATATTCCCTCATGTAATCTGTATGTCAGTCAGAATAGGAGTTCATTGTTAAATTCTCCTGAACATGTGTATGATGTAGTTGTTTTGCTCAGAGGCCAGCATTTGTTTGATAATCTCATCATTTAGTCTTTTAAAAGGGATAGTTTGGGTTTTTTGACAGGGGGTTGTGTGAGGCAGTCATAAATAGTTTAGTCGGTACATTACCGGCAGTAGATTCTAATCAGCGCGCTCTCAGTTAGGAAAGCCGACCTGGAGCACGGTGCACCAGCAGAGCTATGTGTTGCTGTGCACGGGGCCACCAGAAAAAAATGTGTTTTAGACACTTTTTAAAACGGCCACTGAAACAATCCAATATCCGTTTAAATGTACGCTTCATGCAGAATATTTTCTGCGGTTTTTCTTCCCAAAAAAAACCAAAAAAAAACCACCCAAACCATCCCTTTAACTGCACCCTCACATCCGGTGCTTTCTGTCCTCTCTGTTACTCACAAAAACAAACATGCTGCTTTGTGATACTTAAATTCTCTCTGTGCACATTTGCGTAACACAGCAGTGTTTGTGATCCTCTTCTTCAGGTCTACTGGCCAAAAAGGCCGTGGAGGCGGGGCTTGTTGTCAAGCCTTACATCCGGACCAGCCTGGCTCCTGGAAGTGGCATGGTCACTCACTACCTCAGTACCAGTGGAGTCCTGCCTTACTTTAACCAGCTAGGGTAAGCATGTACACACACACACACATTTACACACACATAAATACACCTTTAACACAGGGCAGCTGTGGCTCAGGAAGTAGAGCAGGTCCTCCACTAATCGGAAAATTGATGGTCGGTTCGATTCCCCCAGCTCCTCAAGTCTGCATTTCAAAGTGTCCTTGGGAAAGATACTGAGCCACAAATTGCCCCTGATGTGTCATTGGTGTGTGAATGTGTGTGTGTGGTAGCTGTACGAATGTGTGAGTGAATGGGTGAATGTGGCTTCCTTTGTAAAGTGCTTTGAGTTGTCGGTAAGACTAGATTATTTTGTGAAAGTGAAAGTGTTGTCGCACTCTGACACAGAAGAAGTCTGAATAACGGAATTCCTTCACACAACACTGTTTTTCCTCTCCATGAAGGTTTGAGGTGATAGGTTATGGTTGTGCCACCTGTGTAGGAAACACAGCACCGTTACCCGAAGCTGTCGTGGATGCAATCAAACAGGTAAGATTCAGCTTTTTATTTGGATATCAAAATAAAGCTTCCATTTATAGTTCACAACAATCAAACGATACACTTTGTTTCAGGGGGACCTGGTGGCCTGCGGTGTGTTATCTGGCAACAGGCACTTTGAGGGCCGCCTGTGTGACTGCGTGCGTGCCAACTACCTGGCCTCCCCTCCCCTGGTGGTGGCTTATGCTATCGCGGGCACTGTGGGAATTGACTTTGAGAAAGAGCCTTTAGGTAAAGAACACACACGTCAGGAGCTGCCTTAAGCTGCTGCTCTGAAACCTGAGGTCCATTATGGGATTTTAGGATTTTGGCTAATTTCAGTGAGTAAGCGTGTAATGATTCAGTGTCTTGTGCAGTCAGATATAGAGCAGGTCAAAAAACAGCAGTTCAGGTTAGTGGTAGTTTAAGGTCGAAACTACTGTGTTATCTTTCCTAATACTTTGTTTTCTGTGTAACTCCTGGAATGTTTTTTTTGTCACGTTATTTCATGGATGTCAGTCTTCTAGTTTTGAAGCTTCACTTGATGCTCAGACACCTTATTTAAAGAATTTCTCTCTGAAAAAGTGAAGCCGGCTGGGCATGTGTTGACAGAAAAAGCTGTGATTTAATATTGTTCCTCTTCCTGTTGTTGATGCAGGTGTGACGTCGGAGGGGAAGGATGTGTATCTGCGTGATATCTGGCCGTCCAGGGAGGAGGTCCAGCAGACGGAGGAGGACACGGTCATCTCCTCCATTTTTAAGGATCTCAGGGGAAGGATGGAGGTGAGGAAACAACCTTCACTGGCTTCTGTCTTGTGTGTCTTGCTCAAGTCAAGTGATTCATTGTTTACAAATGTTGTTGTGCTTTCTTCCAGAAAGGGAACACTTTTTGGAACAACGTTGACTGTCCAGACTCTGTACTTTTCCCCTGGGATCACAAGTCCACATATATCCGCTCACCGTGTTTTTTCAGCAAGTTGGTAAGTTTACGTGGACCAGGGACGGTCTCCTGGTTTCCATTATTGAAGTAACACTCAGACATTTGGTCACTAAGCAACTCCTCTGCTTGTCTTTTCTCCCAGAGTAAAGAGGTTCCTCCTCCTCAGTCGATAGAGAGCGCTCATGCCTTACTGTTCCTCGGGGACAAAGTGACCACGGACCACATCTCACCAGCGGGCAGCATTGCCAGGGTCAGCGCTGCAGCCAAGTACCTGCTGAGCAAACGGTCAGTTTCCCTCTCAGACCAGATTTACTAACTTTGCTAAGTGCCACCAGCTAAACGCTGAAGTTACTCAGCTCAGTAATCAATCAGATTGGCTCATGGAAACTTGACAACAGTTGCTATAAACTTCAGATTTGCAACCACTGTGGTCTTTTGCACTCTGCAAATGTTCACAACAATCCTCAACAGTCTGGTGGTGAAAGTCATGACGAGATGTGAGCTATCCAGACTGATTCTGATTGGCCAGAGGACATGCTGGAAGACTGCAGTACTAACGTCACCATCTCCTATTTGTTGGAGCAGTAAACTAACATTTATTCCAAGGTTGACAGACATAATAACATTATATGTTTCTCCACAAAAATATAATTAAACAGTTGCTTGCATGCTTTTTTGTTTTTGGTATTTTTCCATTATTACATGATGTATTAATGAATAGCTAAACAAAGCCAGCTGCTGTAGCCACAGTTCACACCAAAGATACAGCTGCAGTAACCTTAAGAAATCTCTGTTCCACAATATTAAACAAAAAAATGATGTCATATCATTTGCTTATCACAGGACAAATTCAAATGTATTTACATTTAACTTTGAATATTTTTCTTCTCAGCCTGACGCCGCGGGAGTTTAACTCTTACGGCGCTCGCAGAGGGAATGACGCAGTGATGACCAGAGGCACATTCGCCAGCATCAAGCTCCAAAATCGATTCATCGGCAAATCAGGCCCCAAGACTTTGCACATTCCTTCAGGCCAGACAGTAAGTAGACACTTCACCAGACCTGGAGAGACAGATACTGTTATTTTGCTTCAGACACAGATTCTGAGTTCTTCTTGTTTGCCCAGACACAAGCACCATTCCTGCACAAGCTGGCTGCTACAGTGGTCACACTTTGGCCTTTGACCTTTTGAGCTGTAGCATAGTGTGTCTCTCGCACTGTCAGCTGCTACAGGTTCGGGGCCAGACTAGCTGGCTTGTTGTTTTTTGCAGTCAGAGCTGCTGCTGATGACCTGTCCTCTTCCTGTCTGTCTGATCAGCTGGATGTCTTCGAGGCAGCTGACCGCTATCAGAGAGACGGCATTCCTCTCATCATCCTGGCAGGCAAAGACTACGGCTCTGGAAACTCCAGGGACTGGGTAGCCAAAGGACCATACCTGCTGGTAAACTGCATACTAACACTACAACTAAACTGCAAACTAGACACACTGCACTGACCAGACAATATGATGAACAACCAGAAACAGCTGTCATTCTCTCTTTTTTCTCAGTGTCATTTTCCTCCCTTTCACCTGCTAGTTAACATAGTATCCAGTTTTCAGGGACTTTCAGGAACCAGGAATTTCCTGTTTCTATAATCTGTTTGTAATATTGAATAGCAGTAAATTTTCTTGCTATTTGAGAGGATGGAAAAGTTTCTCAGGCTTTTTTAAAAAAAAAAAAAAAAAAAAAAAAAAACATTATACAAAGTGTTTGTGATTCACCTGCGTCTCTGCGGTCGACAGGGGGTACGTGCAGTCATCGCTGAGAGCTTTGAGAAGTTGCACAAGAACCAGCTGGTGGGAATGGGCATCATGCCGCTCGAGTTCCTGCCCAGCCAGAACGCTGACTCGCTGGAGCTCAGCGGGAAGGAGAGGTTTACCATCACCCTTCCAGAGAGCCTGAGTCCAAGGCAGCAGCTCACTGTCAAGGTAGGCAACAGGCAGCCTGCACCAAGCTGTGATGACATTCACACGCAGCTAAGATACCTTCAAACTGTCAGAAACATGTCTGGTTGTTTTCATTGCATGGACCCAGGACTCCCCTGCACTGAGAAGATTATCTTGGTCAAATAGAATAAATTGAATTGCTGTTGTTCTTTATGGAAGTGGCAAGAAGTATTGAAATATGTTTTTGCTAAGCACAAGTACAGACAGTTTTCAAAAAAGACAAATACAGACAGTATTTCTATGAAAGTTGGTTCAAATATTTTACATCTTTTGACACTTTTTCCAAATCGAATCATCTCAGGTCCTTGTTGATAATTTCCAAAGATTATTTAGCAAAAGCTAGAGCTGTTAGATTTTTTTGCCACTAAGGGTCAGAAAACAACACAGACTAGACATATTATCATCCTTACAACACTGTTATAGGCAGCAACATGCTCATAAGACACAAAGCAAAACTATCATCCCATCAGAGTCATGTTTCCGGCCACCTGAGTGAGAACTTCAGCATTCACTCTTTGGCCTCTTGACAAAAATGTGAATGTTGCGGTCGCTTCATCATGAAATCACGCAGCTTTAAAAATATTTATCATTGGAATTTAGAAAATGTGAAGTTGCTGACTCAGCTGTTGACTGTAGCGTACATTTCTTCTGTGTTATTTGCCTTTTGTAATCAAGCTTCATAAGTAGATATTTGAATTTTATATCACAGTAATGTGAGAATATAAAGCGCAGACAGGATTGATACATAGATAATGTGACACACTGTAAACCAGCTGTGTGTGCGGGCTTACGAAGGCTCCACAGTCAAACATTTGTCTCTGTTTTCCTGCAGACCAGCCAAGGAAAGTCCTTCGTCGTCACCGCACTGTTTGACACCGAGATGGACGTTATCTTTTTCCAGCACGGAGGGCTTCTTAGATATGTTGGTCGGACATTACTCTGAAAGCGCCTGCAGCCTGGCCCCAAGCCTACTGAGCGTGCACCAGGCTCATGAACTGCAGCCCTCATCATTTCACCGGTTTGTCTTCAGCATGGATGAAAAGCGGCACGTTGGAGTGACATTAAGACATAATGGTGGTTTGTCTGTTTAAGCTTGGACGAACGTCTCCAAACTTATTGGAGTCATGAGACGACAGTTTTAGCTGCTTCTCCATCACTACGCGTGGCTGTTTCTTGCTTTTGCAATGGCCTCGTTTCTCCTCACATGACCGTCAAAACAAGTGCAGGAGGAAGTGCTGACACGCGCTCCAATAAAGAGATTGTACCCTAGTCGACCTTGGAACATCAGTTTCTATCTTGATGAATCCTGTCTGCTTCTGTTGTCGTTAGATTGAAAAAAGAAACAATCCTGCCTGGAAAGGCTAAGATGGTGCTAGGTACTATGGCATGAATACATTGTTTTTTAGGGTGCAGCACAGCCTGTTTTCCCATCGTCCAAGTAAAATGAAGTTACAGAATTGATGTCAGTTGCCCGTATTTCTAATTGGGGCCAAACAATCCTATGTAAATTATAGTTCTGTTAATATTTCTTTAATCAAACTTTTTTGCAAATAGTACATTTGCCTCCTAATACTCAATTTTTATTATGTGGGAAAAATGTGAAATTCTTCTTTTTTGCTGTTACTTGTGTCACTAAACTCCCCGCTTTACCATGGCTCCTACAACTGACAGTCTTCTGCATTACATTAAAGGTAAATTGTGAAAGCTTTTCTGCATAAAGAATCCATTGATACCAATGTAGGCAGCAGCAGAGTACCTATTGGAAATACAATTAGTATTTGTACCCAATGTATCATCAAAGTACAAACAGTTTTTATGTTGTTAACTGGTGCTGAAGTGAAAGGCAGTTGTTGTGGTGTTGATGGCTCTATTTACACTTGTCATTTTGATTTAATGGTTTGTAGGTATGATTGAAAACAGCTGATTGTGTGAGATCACGCTGCTGAAATCACCTTAATGGCTTTTATTTATGTATCATCTCCAGTGACGTTGATGAGTCCAGTTCAGTCTCTTTCTGCAGCCTGAGCCCGACGGCCTCCAGCAGTGTTCAACATCATTAGCATAATTATTTATTCAAAGGGGAACTCCACCGATTTTAGTTTGTTTACAGGTCTTAGAGAATACCACCGCATATGTGAAAAAAGTTATATAAAACTTTATAAAATGTGATGTCACTTGAGGCAGCATCTGTCTGAAAACTACAGGACTGAAAAGTAAAAAAATCTGTTGGTGTGGAGTTAGAGACACGTGAGATTACCAGACCTCTGAAGCCCACTCCTCATCTCTGCTTGACGCTAGCAGCTCAGGCCAACATTAGCTGCTTCTAGCATAACACACCCAAATCTCAAATTTGCTTTTTTTGTGAGTTTTTGGGGGTTGTGTTGCATTGTGGGTAATGAAGGCACTAGGTTTTGACAAGGAAGAAGAATGCACTGAATAAAAAAAAAAAGACTGACAACTTTGGTTCTGCTGCATTGATTTTGATCCTTTTATTTATTTATTTTTAAACAACATGTTTATAGAGGAGCAATGCTAAATCGGTGGAGTGCTCTTTTAAAGCAAACCCATGTCATTTTTCCCAAACAGTAACAGAAATACTTACAGTATAGATGCTAAAATATGATGTAACAGTAGCACAAGTAGATAAGAGTAAGCCATGTTCATTAACGACAATGTTTACCTAGAGTTAGCTGACATAAGAGACTGGTCACACAAGACCAAGTAAAGTTTTAGTGGCAAAATTTCTACATGTGTTGAACTGAGGGAGTTTTGTTATTAATGTTTGACTTTTCATCTGTAAGAATTTCTTTTTCTATTTTTATTTCTTCTTTTAAAGGAATAGTTTCACCTTTAGGGAAATTAAAGGTAGAAAAATCTGCCTGTTAACATCTAAAGTTCAATAATTAACATGTCATATTTAATTAGTGAGCTTTAGAGGTGCTGGTAGATGGTTTTTAAGTTTGGACAGAGCCTGTTTGTTTCCCCGTGTTTCCAGTCTTTGTGCTGAGCCAAGCTAAGATAAGCTAAAGTAAACTAACATCTCCTGGCTGTACAGGATGTAAGAGTGGTATCAGTCTTCTCCTTTAACAACTGGACCTACGTTTTGACACCTGGTGCTGTCACTTAGCATGATGTGAAGGTTAAAGCTGTGTCAAGGTGACAAGTGTAAATATAGCGCTTCATCTTTGTGGTGCTTTTCACGCCATTGTTGTGTGTGTCCATGGATGGGATCAGTTCACTTTCACCTCTTTGATTAAATACTGCAAAAGCTCCCTGCATGAGGAGATTATCAATCCATCCTAGTGACTGATAATCAATGCTTGATCATTTTCCAGCTGAATTGTAGTTTGAACTGACTGGACTGAATTTTAAGTGACTAGACAGCAGCCCAGCCTGAAGTACAGGCATCCTTTAGTTTATAATCCATCACAAATGACGTATGTTGAGGAACTGGACTTGCCATTACGATTCAGTCTGAAATCAGTCTTCTTCTTTTAGTGTCAGCTCTGTATGATTTGATATTTGTGCATGAAACCATTTTGACTCACTGTTTCGGTCGATAATGGCACTTTTTCTGAAACCATCCATCCAGTGCAACATGTCACATTATCTAGAATGTGGATTGGAGCCTTTATGCATTTGAATATGTTTTAGAGAGCATGATAGTGTGCTGTCTGTGTGAAGTTATTTATTGATACCTACACTATTTCTGTAACATGCTGAACCATTAACTGTCTGAAACTGTTGCAAAACTGTCATTTAAGAATGAACAAAGACGAGTGCTTTGCTTTCTCTAACTGCCAAAATGAGCTGAAGCAGGTAGCAGACTGTCTTGTGATGATGATGACGTCTGTATTGTTTGGGTGCCTCACGAGTGAAGATGATAGTTTCTACACTGCTTCATAAAACAGATCATGTAGGTTTTTCTTTTTAGTTCCTCGCTAAAGCCAGTCCATCTTCACAGTTTGCCTTCTTAGTGTGAGCAGGTTGGTTTAGTGTGTCAGAAATGTGTGGTAACAGGAACGGGACAACATTGTGGACTGGGAGCGTGCAGCGGCACAGTGTGAAAGCTTTACCTGTAGTGTCATCATGTGTAGCAGTTAACTGGTCCACTGCTGTTGTTGCTTCTCACTATCCCAGTTTAGGGAAGCAAAGTATGCAAACCAAATGTCTCGCTGCGCATGGGAAAAGGTGTCGCATAATCATATTGTAAATAGTTTTTAATAAATGTTAAAGCAAAGCTGGTGCTGTAGCTGTGTGTGAGGCAGCGGAGTGCTCGATTAAAGGGTGACTTCACTGACGTTCCACGTCAAGGTTTATCGATGGCTCCTCAACCTGTGAAAACAAGTATATCTTCTGGCGGAGCTTCATCAAGTCAAGACAATAACCCCATTGATGTCATCAGGGGTTGGCGGCAAGGACTCTGAAAGATGTGGGTGTTTAATAATGTGCTGTGTGATGCAACTGAGTTTAACTGACAAAATGTAGGATCCTTTGTTTCTAACTCGCACTAATTGAAACCAGCAACTAAAAGCCAGTATATCTCTGCTTCTAAACTTTTCAGTTAGTTCATTAGGATGAGTGAGCTGATTAAAAAGTCTTGTAATGACAGCCCCACAGATACTGGATTCTTCAAGCCAATATCCACTTCATTTACATAAATACACAACATTAAGCAAAAAAAATGTTTGATAAGAATCTCTTGGATTTTGGTAAAATTCAACCAAGATATGTACTGAGGACTCTTTACAGTTGGAAAATAAACTGGTCAGTGCCTCCTGGTGGACAATGTATGCAATGGAGACATTATTTATAAATTATCTTAAAATAGATAAGTAGTCTTCTTGCATTGCAATTTCTTTCTTCTTTCTTTTTAATTTACTTGCTTTAAACAAATAGACAATATTTTGTTCCTCATGTTCTAGTTGGACTGTAATTTTACGGGTTAAACAGGTTTATTTATGAGGTTTATCTACCTCTCAGTTACCTATGGAAAATGAGTGTTAAGCTTTATGAAGTTTCAGTGAAATGCATATACACAGCTGTCTCTGTTTTCAGACCTGGTACCTACACCAATCAGTTGAACAAACTATATACATGTATGTCATTATAAACTGTAGCCTGTTTTTGCCAGGAGCTGGTTTGGACTCACAAACTCACTCATTCACATTATGCCAGCTGCAGATTCAGATTTTCATAGTGAAGCTTAACATCATCAGTTTAGTTAAAAACCTGCAAATCTGAGTCACACATGAAATGCATTTGCTTCTCAAAAACATAGCACTATGTAGATCTGGTGGTTGTTACAACACAGAACAGAAACATTTACTGTAGATTTTTCACTCGCATTCATGAGCCTGTTTAAACTTTTAGCCCCAAACACTCAAAGCTCCAGCATTATTTTGAAAACCTCATGTGAGAGAAGTGGAGAAATAAAACACTGAAGCCTGGAGTTCTTAATTAAATCTCCAAGTGTAAACAGTGCAACTTTTATTGATTTGTTTTAAAAGAAATTTCTATGACAGTGCACGCTGCCGACATTGCTCTGCACGAGGACACAGAATGACACAGTATGATGACACTCTAACAGCCCATTTGAATTAAACGCTGTCTAATGTAACAACAGTTGAAAACTCAGAAACGAAAACAAACCCCAACAGTGCAAAGAAATGTCTGCAAGCTTAGTGATGCCTTAACGACAACAAACGAAGTGTAGCGTCACTGCTGCACGGCTTCAGTTCAACTGTGTGCAAATGTGAAATTAAAGCTGTAATCACAAGATGGCAGCCCCGCCACATAACGCTGTGACACGGGTCACTGCGGACTGAGGCGTCAGGGAAGCATTAGGTTCACTATGACATCAGTACGTTTAGTATTTCATGTTAATCTTATGTTTACAGGTCAACATCATCGGCCCATGTGTGGGGCTTTCAGACTGGATGTTAAAAGGACTATTCCAGTGTGTTTTCATGCTGTTGCCCATTTCAATAGAAATCACAGACAGTACTGTTTAGTGCTGAAATGATGAACAATTTTGATAATTAATTGATCACTGAAATCATTCAAAAAAAAAAAAAAAAAAAATCAAGCAAAAAAACCAAACGTTCACTAGTGCCATTTTTTCAAATGTGCATACTGGTGTCTTTTTCTTTTATATCCCTGTACATTAAAAGGTACTCTGTGGATTTTTTGTAAGCAAGATATGTTTACATATAGTTTATCAACACCACATAAAATATTTGCAGTCAGTTTTTAAAGAAAGGTAAACTGTTAAGTTTCTGTTTGGCCAGCTAACGGTCGTCTTCTTCCATGCCTTTGTTGGCACATTGCTGAGTTTCTTGGCAGCTTTTGATCAGGGGAAGAGCGTGAAACCATCAGAGGGATTCACCCGTGTGTTACTAACAAAAATACAAACACACGCTTAAAAACTCCATCGCGCCATTAGTTTTTAAAAACTCCACAGGGTACCTTTACATATCTTTGGGTTTTGGACTGATGCTGATAAAACAATTTCAAGATGTCACCTTGGGCTCTGGGACACTGTGTATTTTCATGATCATATGTTTACAGAATAAACAATTGAAAATATCAACAGATTAATTCATAATGGAAATATTCTTAGTTGCAGCCTTTTTATTCTAGGACATGATTGCCAACCATATGTCGAAGCAGCATCCTACCTACCAGGCATTAGTTTCCATTCATTTGATTACAGTACACTGCTGTACTTAGTGAGACCGACCATACAGTGAGAGCATGTCTGCATTTAATGTATTATTCTCAAAGTTAGTCATCATTGCTTGCTAATGCCTTAAAGAGTTCCCACTGACTTGCTGTACAGCATTACCACACAATGATGTAGCTTTGACAAAAACAGACTCAGACGTCACGTTCACTATGAGGATTAACTGTTTCAAGTCTCTGCAGGTTGATCTGCAGAGACTGAATCCAAAGGCTGACGAGAAAGTAGCAAAAACAGATGACCAAACTTACAGCATTAGAGGCAAGAATTTAGAGGAAGAAAAAGATGTAATGTGTAGTAAATGGACATTGCTCTTTAACCTCAGCATTGACACTCATTATATCATTATGGCTGTTGTGGGAGTAACTGTTATGTAACGAGCCTCTGCACTGCCCACAACTGGGCACAACTTTATCCTAAACCAGAGTTAACATGGTGTCTGGAGACAAAACACCGTTCAGACTTAAAAAGGCACAGACATGTGTAGTTGTAAGAGTAAAGTTTGCACAATGATTGAAATCAAATCTAAAACATTTAAACCCAAAAGCTTCACCTACAGTATGATGCAACCCTTGACCACAGCTGTAGAGTTAGCTCATCTAATGCCTCTCTTTACCCCGCACCCAGGCCCCTCAGCATCAATAGTATTTTAAATCTCAAGGAAAAGAAGAAGAAAAGAAAACATGGCTGGTACTTCAGTACTTTATCCACCTGGTGGAAGTGCTCATAATTCTTTTTTTTTTTTTTTTTTAAACTGTTATTTTATCCCTTTAAGTCTTTTAAAAGAAAAAGAAAGAGTGAAACTCTTGGCCACTTTCTTCATCTGGGTCCCCAGAAATATCTGATGAGAGAGCAGCCGTGCTGTAAACAATTAACCACTGCTGATGTGAAGGAACTCCTGATCACACGAGGGAGAAAATCCTGAGAACAACGGACTCGGTTCATTTCCCTTCTCTTGTGGAAATCAATGGAATCATTCATCTACACTTTTCTCTCTTTTCGTGTGTCCATATCTTTGTATATGCAAACTCTTTTCATCTAATAAGAAAATATTTGTGAAAGATTAAATGAAAATATACAATTATTAATACAATAGAATACAGAGCTATTATGTTAAAGGTGATTAAAAAAACTGGTTTGATTGTATCTCCCTTTACAATGCACTCATTTTCCTTGGTTTAAAGGCAAAAGAGGTAAAGTGTATAAGAAAAAGGCAGCCTGTTGTGTCATCCAAAAGGCTGGTACTTGAGGATTAGGCAATTGCTTTTGCTTCTGGTAAGAAAGCCTCCCAATACTTTATCAGCTGGAAAAAAAAAAAAGAGTCAACAGCGTCAGTTTCATTCATAAGTGGTTAATAATTGGGATTTAACAACACGTTTTTTATAGTTCTGAATCACTCTGTCAATAGACAGAGAAGTAATCAATTTATTATCAAGCAAAAATTGTTAACATCTACATGATCCATTTTCTCAAACATGAGTATTTACTGCTTTTCCTTGTTTTACATCATTGAAAATTGAACATTTATGGGTTTTAGACTGCTGCTTGGCCAAAACAAGCAATTTGGAGACATTTCTTTAGGAGTATTTTTGGTGTACTATTTCATTTTTTTCCTAAAAATATTCCACTTAAAAATCATCCTTCTATGGTCTCAGGAATTTTGGGAGCACTACGCCTCTGTACTTTTTCCACTCATTTCCATGTGTCACTTTTCATTTAGAATTCAAACTTCTGAAGTCTTTATGGACAGAGGATAATCAGCTAAACTGATAAAATGCAAAACACTTCTAACCAATTTAATTTAAAATCCTGTAAATAGAAATAAAATATGTTTTTGTGACACAACAGAGTCAAAACAAACTGCCACAGCTGGGGGAAAAACAAAACTATTTATAAATGTACACTGACTGTGTTGACCAGATGAATGTTTGACTGGAGAAACACTCACCTGTTGCTGAGATTGGAGCAGAGACTCCAAGTAGTTGATTATCTGTCTTTTGAAATGTTTGGCCTTTTCTTTCTGTAAGAGACAATTTTGAAAAAGTGTTTGTCAGTAATGAAAAACTTTTCAAGCTGTCGTTCAGTGTCATCCAGGGAACAGAAAAAGATTAAACATTGGTACCTCAAAGCGAACGACTTCCTTGCGCACGGTGGCTGAAACTCTTTCAAAGTCTCTCTCATACTGTGTCACTTTGGCCTCCCACTGTTTCCAAGAAGAGAAAAAAATGAAACATTTTTTTCAGTAAGGATCCTAAATATCTAGTAAACTGATGTATTTTTGTATAAAAGAAAACAAATGGACATCAGGTGAATGTGCTTTATTGTGTCTAAAGTTTTTGGAAAAAATAAATAAATAATCACATTTAACTGTCATTGTTTCATCGTACCACCTGTTTCTGATAATAGCTGTGATTACGGGAACAAGTGAGGCACCTTTGAAGTGGCCTTTTCATTACTCAAACATTGTCCCCAGTCTTGAAAAGACCACATCAAACTCCAGCACTTCCAGGCATCCCAACCTCATCTGAGTGCTTTTCTCTGTGTTGATTTTGGCCTGTGTTGTACCTCAGCGATCTCCTCTTTAGCCAGCTGCAGTTTGTCCGGCTTGTTGGCCCACAGCAGTTTGGCCTCAGTCTCCCTCTTCTTCTGCAACATGGCCTGAGCATCCTGCCAACGTTGCCACGCCTTCATCCGGTGATCAAACGACCCCTGCAGGTCGCAAACACACAGGGGATCATTTCGTGTTTACATTTGGCTATTTACTTCAGCCCCTTAGCCAACTCCAACAACTTTCAAAATAAAAGTCAAGACTTTATTTGCTATCAATAGAAATCTTGCTTGTTTTGTGGAATATGATACAAGTTTATTTTATTCATTTAGCTTTCAAATACATTTTGAGAGTGGAAGTGATGAGTGAAAAGGCTGCATAGATAACATGGCCAACATTAAAGTACTATGACACTCTCATGCTGCATCCCTTTGTACAGTATTTAAAGTGAATCTATCCATTGCCCCATGCTTGTCTGATTCTGTTCTTCACTTAAATTCATAATTTTTGAGGCACACAACTATTGCACTAAATTAAAATGACTTGACCTCACTGCTTAATATAGAAAGCAGACAGATGGTAAGGCTTGGAGTGCAGCACAAAAATGAAACTTGACTATTCCAAAACTACACATGCTCATACATATCTCATCTGGTCTTTTCATTTCACTTTCATTAATCTTTGAACACTGAAAGCACTCGAGTTACTTGTGTTTTTTTATTAAACTATGCAGAATAAGCTTTGATTTGAAATTAGATTCTTATAAAATTTTCTCAGTACCCTCACGGCTCCAAGCAGGCGGATGAAATCTGCAATGAGTTCGGCGAAGCTGAAAGTGTCATTGGCAGCCTGCTCCTGGTGTAACTGCTCCATCTTATCCTCCACCTCTGCCAGCTGGGACAGAGCTCGGGACAGAGCGGTGTTGTCCTCTGCACTGCCCAGCATGGCTGCACTCTTGGCAAAGCTCGCCGTGTTCAACGACAGCTCTAAGAGGAGTGGCAGAAAAAACATGCAAAATCAATTACAGATGTTGAAAAATAACACTGAATATGACTATGACTTCTATGAATTCTACTTGGGATTTTAGAAGATTTTAAGGGAAACAGGCCACAAGGATTAAATTCGTGTAGGATTTGAAAATTCCCCCATAAGTGATAATATCAGATAATGTCACAGCGACAAACTAAATTTCCCATCAAACTTTTTCTCAATTTTCTGCAAACAAAACATAGGCCATCAAAATAATTCTAAAGTATAATAATCACAAACTTTTCACATAATGGCTTTTAAAAAAGCATCTGGCTTCTGACGACAGGGTTTGTTGCAGTGGTCTGCTCTTAATCTGATCAATAGATAATCAGGACTGGATGCTTGGTGATGGGAGTATCTGTTACCAGTTAGAGACAGCTAACCTTTTCTATGGACAACCAGGGATTCGACCAGAGCATGGAGCTTCCTGAACTGCTGGTCTGCAGACTCCACCTCCTGCAGCTTCTCCTCAAACCACTGCAGCAAAACATACTGTTAGTGCAACTGCCGAAGTCACGGCCCCCACATGTTTAAAATCACACTCTTATTCCAACGTAAACATTTCTAAAACATGTCAATGCCTTCATTTAAACAGATCATAAAATACTGCACCATGAAAAAAACACACATAACACATAAGTTCAGAAAGATCATGAAAAACAAGTTCAGCAACAGCTCTGTTCTGATGTCACACTACTCCTTAAAAAGTAATTGTTAAAATGTTTTGATACACTGCTGTTAAGTGTTTCAGCCTGAATGTGCCATCAGCCTTTAATGGTAAGATGGAAATACTCTGCTTCCTTCTTAAATATCCAGATTCCTCATTACAAAAATGATTTGCTACATGAGCGTTTCTCTGGAACAGAAACCGTTGAGAGCAGCAGTGTGTGTTTACTCACCACATCTGACTCATTCATCTTGATGGTCATTTTACTGACAGCATCTGTTGCTTTGTTAATCATTTTCAGGAAGCCAGCGCCGCTCAGAGCCTGGGTGCTCACTGCTCTGGGCAACTGAAGACACACACACACACACACACAGACACACACAGTCAAGACTGAATTTATAATATATTCTAAAACGTCAGATATCTAAAAGAATCAAGAATAAGTAAATGACCGAGGAATAAAACATCCCTCCTACAAGTGTTTACCAAAGAAAAGATATTTTCATTATGTCCTCTAGTTGTGTGCCAGGAAGTTTCACGGTCTTTACAGAGCACAGTATTTCAATGTGACTCAGGCAAAAAACTAAATGTTTATCTTCTAAAAAGGCACAGAGCCCTGACGCTCCTCAATTTCAGCTTACTTCTTCTCTCTCCAGGAACTCTCTGACATCTGGATCTTGGAGAAGCGATGGGTGATTTACCACCCTCTGGAGATACCTGAGGAATGGGAAGATGGTGAAAAGAAAACTCATTTTCCTTCTTGTATGGAAAACATGATAAAACCTTTAGAGGATTCATTTTCTCCTACCTCTCCAAGGCACCTCTTCTTCTCTCAACAAAGTCTGCAGATGAGGAATCTTCCTTTCCTACCTTCACCTTTGTCATACCTATGCAAGACAACATCCTTGTTTATTGCTGGTGGAAATCAAATTTACTCTTACAGTTTGAGAGAAAATGAGAGGAAGAAAATGTTTACCCAGGATGCTTTTTTCTGGCGGTGGAGGCACGATGAATCCATTTGGTCCATGTTTTTCAGAAAGCTTCTCATAGAGGCCGAGGAAGTCGCTGAAGCGTCGCCTCACTGTGTATGTCTTGTTGCGGAACATGGGCAGTGTGGTCTGAAAGAGACAGTTTCCCTCACTTCGAGCCTTTTATATATTATTGTGTTTCATGCCCAACAGGCTTAAATTCATTGAATTACTACTCTAAACCTCTGACGTAGTCTATCGCTGTGACTCAATTCACATACTTACACTTGCTATATTGAGTGTGTAAGTGTGTTTACATTGACAAGTACGGTAACATGCAGTGCCCTATAAGTACCCGAATACTGCACTGAAAACGGCACTTCTTGCCCTCAACAGTCACCATTTTGGCCACATAGGTGAAGGGCAGGGACTGCCAACATATTTTCAAACTTGTTAAAACGGCGGCAGAGAAAGGAGGACACATGGTCGGTGCCAATTTCCCTGTCACATGACACAGGGGCACATGCAGGAAAGTAAAAACATTATTTTGGAGGGCGACAATCGCAATGTGTCACACATTGCGATTGTCATTTCTGGTGAGTTCACAGCGGCAATGTTTGATTTGAGATAACACTACCCTGACAGAATTCACGCACTACGCCATTAAGTGTACTGTGTACATGTGAGTGTACTGACTGAAGTATCCGATTTCAGACACAGTATATGTTCATGTATGGGCGTTTCTCTTACAATACACTGACCAGCATTTCCTCTCTTTTCGTACTTACAACACGTCTGATGAGTAACTGCACTAACTTCCCTTGGATTTAAGATGGACAACTTCACATCAAGTGAAATAGTGTAACATTGAGAGTTTTTACCTGAGTGGATACTTTGTAGGCCATGTAAGCGTTCATCCCGTCCCCTGAAAAAAAAAAAAAGGACACAAATTGATATAAATACCTACAGAATATAATTAAAGAAAAGCTGCATGTGGGTCTCATTTATGTTACTTTATCACTGGCCTCACGCTCTTGGCTCCTTTGTCCTTCCTTTTTCACAATTTTTGAAATAATAAAATCAAGGACTCAAGCACCTCTGTTTGCTTGATGTTTATGGTGCACAAAGCGATGTGTACCTTTATTGCAATGAAATATATAAACGTTTTATTGTTTCATTAAAAACAGAACAAAAATAATAAGCCTCACCTATTTTTTCAGGGTCTTTGACGGAGACAAAGATGTCAAATTTGTCTTCCTGCTCCTCCTCCTCCTCCTCCTCCTCCTCCTCTTCTTCCAACTGAAACAAATATTAAACAAAGGTGAAATTAGTTGCAATAACAGCAGAATTTAGATTTTTGTAAAAATTGGATTCTCGATGGAGGCGGGACTTGTTTGTTCTAGTGGGATGTTAAACAAGTCAAAAAGTGTCTTAATGTAACTCCCTTATATTTTCAATTTCTCAAAATTTTGATTTTTCAGCGGAAGCTTAAAATGAATAAAATGGTGGGCAGAAATGGAAAATCCTTGAACTCCAACAGCTTTCAATCATTACTTTGGTAGTCACACTGGGCATTTCACTCTGGGATTAGATATCCGCGTACCTCCTCAAGGGCAGCAGATTGTGGCTTGGCCAGGCTGGCAGCAACAGACAGGGAGGGGGTGGATGCAGTCACCTCCTTCTTTCTCTCGTTGCGCGGACTGTCGAGAGAAAGCTCCACTGTGGCTTCTGTTAGAGAGGAAAAGAAAGTAAAGGAAACAGATGTTGAATGCAAATGTGTAGAGAGGCGTCCTTTGTTTATTTGACATTCCAGACAGCATGTATTTACATTTACATGCCGTCAATGTGGCAGAAAATGTCTTATACATTTGTCAAAACTGCCAACTTCACCGATTCTGAATGTGAACAGTTGTATTTACTTTAATATTAGACAAAGAAACAAAATATCTACAGTGTGCAGGATTTCACTTCCTGTCCTTGAGTTGTGTATTAGATTATACAGTGATTTGCTGGTATCTGAGAGGACAGCAAACTAAGCATGTGATAATTTTTTCACCTTGACCTGCGTGCCCACATGGACTCTGAATACTTAGTTTGTCTTGTTTTCTTTCTTCTGGGTTAATACAGCCCAGTTTAATGTGGCACAGTGATTGTTAACAGTTACAAATGCCACTTTTCTTGAACAGAGTTTCAGGGACAAGGCATTAAGCAAATATTGGTTTTTGCCGTGAGGGGAAACAAATATAATTTGAGCCCAGCACAATGAATGTGACGATGCTTTTGTTGTAACTTATCTTCTCTGTTGTTTAGGAAATTAAAGGAGAATCATATTGGACTACGGGTTAGGGACGTGTACCACGAAATATACAGCAGGACAGGACAGTCCATCCGTAAACCTCTGTTCCATGTCATGCCCTGTCTGTCTCACCTCATTTCCTGTTAGCACTCTGCTATCCACTACAGTGCCTGGTGAAAGTATTCACCCCCTCTGTGTTTTTCCTGTTTTGTCGCATTACAACCTCGATATAAAAGGGATTCTTTTATGCCTACCACTTTGGTGCAAAATGTTTTTTTGTTTGTTTTATTTTAAATTGTGACACTGACAATAATTAAGACAGAAATATTGAGTGTGCATAATTATTCTCACCCCCAAACTCAATACTTTGTAGAGCCACCTTTTGCTGCATTTACAGCTGCAAATCTCTCAAGTATGTCACTATTAGCTTAGCATATCTAGCCAATGCTATTTCTGCCTATTCTTCAGGGCAAAACAGCTCCTTCACATCATCAGATGAGGTGTGTTGGTGTACACCAACCTTCAAGTCATGCCACAGATTTTCAACTGGATTGAGGTCTGGGCTTTGAATAAGACCTTAAAACTACTTGTGTGTAGCTTTAGCAGTGTGTTTAGGGTCATTGTCCTGCTGGAAGGTGTCCTCCTTGCCTGGTCTGTGAGTTTTGGTGGGCGGGCTACTTTTGTAATGTTTGTAGTGGTGCCATATTCTTTCCATTTTGTTATAATGTATTTAATGGTGCTTCTTGGAATGTTCAAAGTTTGGGATATTGTTTTATAACCAACCCTTATCTATACAACTCCGTGTATGACCTGTTTGGAGAGCTCCCTGGTCTTTGTGTTGATGTTTAGCGGTGTTGGAGACTCAGGGGCCTTTCAGAACAAGTGTATTTCTACTGACATCATGTTACAGACATGTGACACTTTAATTCCACGTACATGAGCCTTAACCAACTAATTAGGTGACTTCTGAAATTAAATGCTTGGACCAGATCTTTCAGGCCTTTCATGTCAAAATGGGTGAATACATATCAACTCACAACTTTTTACTGTTTTTTTTTCTTTTTTAAACAAGGTTTTTGTTGTTGTTTTTTTTTACAATTTTGATTATTTTGTTAGGTCCATCACATAAAATCCAAATAAAAATCAATTTCAAGTCCATGTTGTAATGCAACAAAACAGGAAAAACACTAAGGGCAGGGAATACTTTTCACAAGGCACTGTATGTAATAAAAGCAAACATACGCCAATAAAAGCATTGGGAAAAAAAGAAAAGAACCAAAACAATTATTTGTAGATATAAGGACATAATGTGAACCAACTAACAAATTCCCTTATTAAGGCAAAAAAAAAGTAGTAGAATCAGCACACTGTTTCTTTCCTCTACTATTTTTTTGCCTTTATATTTCCTGTTTGATCATGCACGGTTGAAGAGTTTTTTGAATGTGCATACCTCGCTTTCTGAACAAATCACAAACTGAAAGCAGATTGACCAGCACAGATAACTGCTGCGCACATGTGGCTTTGAATGTAGCCATGTATGGATTACTGAACAGGCCCCTGGGCAGAGGCCTGAAGGGTCACGGGACCCTGAGCTGGAGTATCTTGAGGTGTTAATATTCCTTGTTAGAAAATCAAGAGACACAGAATAACTACAAAGGTGCAAAAAAAAAAAAAAAAACTGATAGATGCACGAAGACCACAGAGAGACACAGAACACCCACAATGGGACACAATCAACTATAGAAAGACACAACAACAACAACAAACGGACACAAACAACTGTAAAGTGAGGCAAAACATCAATGATGTGATGCAAATTATCCACAAAGAGATACAAAATAGCCAGACAAAAAAATAAATGACAACAAGATGCACCATGACCACAGAGCAACACAAAATGGCCAGAGACTGAAATTGTCTGCAAAGAAACAAAAAAATGACCAAAGAGACACAAATTAGATGCAAAATGACAACAAAATAGATTCAAAAACAACCACAAAGAGACACAAAACAACTACAAACAATGTGGCCTATGTATGAAGGCTGGGGGACTTTTACATGTCTGTGCCCAGGGACCCACTGACTCTTAATCTGTAACTAATCTGTGACTCTTAATGTAACTGGTCTCACATGATCTATGTGAACACTCCCTTTGTCACTAATCCTTCTCTTATGACACTAAATCCTGATAATGGAACCAAAGAATAAAAATAGTTGACCCACCAGCAAAGATATCAGTCTCCTCTTCAGAGTGCACTCCATTGGTCTTGGAGTTGACAGAGCTGGTGTTGCTGATGCTGGGCGCTGTGGCGACAGCTTCTTCACTGAAGATATCAGCAGGTTCTGCAGGAGTACTCTCTTGCAGAGGCCCAGCTATGTTGATACCATCGCCAGCAGCAGCTTTGCTTGTGACAGATTTGTCCTTCTGCTCTTTATTGATGCTTTTCTTTGAGGTGGCACCCAGTGGCTCACCGAACAGATCCTCGTCAGGTTCACCGAAGAGGCTTTTCTGTGGCTGCTTGGCAGATTTAGTCTGCCGTGGTTCTGAAAACAAGTCGGTTCCCTCGTCCTGGAACAGGTCGATTGTTGCCCTGCTGGGTTTTTTGGCATCAGCAGCAGGTGGAGCATCACTGAGGAGGTCAAGCAGAGGGTCAACAATTTTTTCAGTGCCAGATGGCTGTTGTGTGACAGTGGTGGATGCATCATCACCGCTGAAATCGATAATTGGAGCACTGGAAGTTTCTTTTACTTCCTGTTTCCCATCGCCAGGTGGATCTGTAACACTGTCTGCCACTTCACTTTTACCCGTTGCCTCTTCAGCAGTCACATCCGCTACCACTACTTCCTCTCGCGGTGCCTCGGTTTCACTTCCCAATATGTCAACAAAATCATCTGAGGGTTCATCTAAAGAGATTTCAGTTGTGTCTTTCGCTGCAGCTTCGACTGTGTCAGCAGCAGCTTCGGTTACGTTGTTTGTTAGGTCGACAAAATCATCCGAGTGTTCACTGACAACTTCACTCGCTGGTTTGTTTTCTGTGTGGCTGCTAATGGGCTCAATTAAGGGATCGTCCATGATGTCAGTGGGGGGTGTCAATAAATCATCACTGGGTTGCGTGGCAGGTGGCAGTGTGGTGTCCATTTCGGTCAGTGAAGGCTCGGTCTGGAGATATGGGAAAAAGGGGGAAAAGGTTTAGAGTACTTGAATAGGGCTGCAACTAATGATGGTCTGTCAGTTATTTGGAAAACATCAAATGTGAGAAACGTGGCATGTCAACTGATAAATGACTAAAATGATTGATTAATAATCAAAATAGTTTAGTCATTGACCAAAGGATTACTCAACCAAAATTTTATTTTAAATGATTAAATCAGTTATTCACCACCCAAAGCCCAACAAAAAGGGTTGTAATCTCAGTATATCAGAAGGATTTGATCTTGCAAAGTTTCCTCATACCATAAGGGCCAACTATATTAAATTGTCCATAAACATTTCCAAAAACTGTCCCAGCAGCATAATCCAGGTCTCTGGTATACAGTTGCTTTATCTTTACATCCCAAACACATGTATTTTTACTATAATACTACTAAAAACACAACTTCCACAAACTCATTATCTGATGTCAATCAGCCATGTTATGATTAAAAGAAGGTTTAACGCCTTTCTGACAGGTATTGGGAGTTTTGAATGGATTTTAGGGGAATAAAACAGGCTTTAACAAACAAGAAGTGTGAGCTACAGTAGATACCGTAAGAGGTGAGTGTGGCTGCCTGTTTGATGTCACTCCAGATTTATGAGTGGATTGCCTGGTGTCAGCTTTTTTTTTTTTTTACTCATTTATATGGTAATGTTCAACTTGATTCTGAGCCAAGCCTCCACATGACCCTTTTAGACGCTCCAAAGAACAAGAACACAATATTTTTCAGTCATCCCAGGCTACTGGGTGTGCAACAGATAACAAAAATATTCATTTAAAATCAAAAAGTAAGTATAGTAAAGTAAGTAAGCATTTTAACATGTTTCAGGAATAGCTTTATCAGACAAATGCTCAAATAAGTCTCACGCAGTCTAATGCAACAGTCCTGCAAAAAAATCCTACTTTCCTACAGGTTGTCATGTTCACGTTGTCATGTTTAACAAATGATTTTGTCATAGGTTTTGGGTGTATTTGCCAGTAATGATGTTGACTAATACTAAGTAAACAGATTGTTAACACAATGCATCTGTAGGAGATGAAAAGATTTAATGAAATGATCAACTGAATCCACTAACAACCACTGCCTGGTGCATTTCCAAACATTACTTCAGCTACAGGCTCTGTTAAATGTAACATCCACAACTGCTGACTGTGGTTTTCCATGCAGCAGTGAGTCCAGCTCTCAAAAAAATCAAAGACAGCAACTTTCCAATCTGTCCTCTGAACTTTGACTGTGGGAAAACATCCGGGTTCTAACCATGTGACCACAGCTGACTCACATGACAGGAGGCTGCCTATGCCAGCTTTTAATCCTCATTCAAAAAGAGTCTGAATTTGACCCCACTGATAAATATGAAACAGTATCACTACCTACTACAATAAAACCACAAGGACCTTATTTCCTGCAGAGTGCGGAGATTAGACTACTTTACCTGCTGTATGCATGGCCTATAAATTTGCACTTACTAAGGATTTCAGATTTTGGTTTTAGAAATGTCAATGATATTCTGCACAGACAACATCTGCATATAATTAATCAAACAGGAACAATATTAACAGGAACAATATTAAAGGGTAGGGCCGCAAGTAAGGATCATTTTTATTATTGCTTAATCTGCCAGTTGTTGAAAAAAAAACACCCACCACAACATCCTTAAATCCAAGGTGACATCCTCAAATGTCCTATTTTGTTTATAGTATATAGTAATGTAAAGCCAAGAGGAACAACGAATTGAACCAGCAAAACTCTATTAGTCCATCCATTATGCCCATCACAACTTTGCAAAGCTGAGCGTGATGTCTTCAAATGTAATGTTTTGTTCTAGCAAAAGTCAAATACCCCACATTTTGCAACAATTAGTTTAGTTTACAATGATGTATGATCTTTGGCCCAGTTTCACTATTCTTGGAAAACACTAGGACTGGAACCAACAATTATCCTCATTAGATTATTTTTTTCGACCAATTGCTTTGCTAGCAAAAAGCCAGAAAACAGTTCAGTTTACAGTCATGTATAGCAAAGAAAAGCATCAAATCCTCACATTTGAGAGATTCAGAGATTTTTGGGTATGACTAAAACGATTATTTATCATAATTACCAATTTATGTTCCGTCATTGCAGCTGGATTATCAAAATAAATGCCAAATAATTTTCTGTTGATCAACTAATAAAGTCGTTGCAGCTCTAGCGTCCCTAATCGAATCAAATCACAGTCATACAGTACTTCACAGAAAAAACCCAGAAACGGGTCAGATTTTCTGCATTAAAACCTCCATATTGCTTTGACAATTCACGCTGCAGTATATACTTCAAGTGTAGCATTATCCGACATGACAGTTGTGTATGTCAACATTATTTATTTAGTCTTTCCTATGCGGTAAAAATAGCGAACTGCTGGTAAAAACCTCCCACAACTAAACCCAAACTTGCTGAAAGTGCCTCATTAGCTTTCTCCGCTGACGTTAGCTAACTGCCTTGGCAGTTGTCAAGTTAGCCCAAACGCAGGCTAGTTAGCCACTGTGAAATCAACATTAAGACATACTGCGCTCATGAAGAGGTCTTCCCCGTCGTCTTCATCACTATCTCGGCCTGCGACTTCTTCGGAGTCCAGCACATCTTGGTCCTCAGAGTCGGGGAACGGAGGAGGACTGCGCTCCGAGCTGGTCGCCATCTTCAATCTTTTTTAAAAACACACGGGAAGGTAACGTCAACCGCTCGCCGCGCGCACACACACACACACAGACACACACACAGACAGACGGGCAGACCGAAGCTCTGAGGCCGAAGCACTGCTGCTACACACTCAAGTAGTAGTTCACCTCAAGATAGGTCAACTAAGCACGAGAACAGGCTGCAAACCGGAGGCTCAGGACGTGCAGACCCGCCGCTGTCTTCTTACTTCCTGATCCTCCTCCTTCTTCTTCTTGTCAGGTTAGCTACAGTCGGCGTTAGCTAGCCGGGCAGTCATGGGACAGATGCAGCGGTGCAAGCGGTAAATGAACCAGGACAGGGGTGCAGCTGAAGTTAGCTAATCGGCACACGGCCCAGAGTGCCCATATTAGAGACATCCGACTTTGGGAGATGTCTCGTCACATGCGTACCGGAGATGTGGAGGCACGACGGCCGCTGCTTGTCACCGGAGATCACCTGGAGCCAAACGAGCTGGACTCAGACGAAGGTAAATGCTGTCTCATCGGTCACCCCATCACGTAAGCATTAACTAAGCTTTAAACAGTGCTGGGAGAAGTGTTCAGGTGCTGTACGTACGTAAAAGTACTAATATATCAATGTAAACACTCTATTATAAGTAAAAGCCCTACATTTTAAAACCTGCTGGAGTAACGATAAAAAAAAGTATCTTAAAAAATACATAAAATATCAAAAGTACAAGTATTGGCGTTTCCTGGCACATTATCACTGCTGGAAGGTAACTAAGTGTATTTACTCAATTGTACATTTATTGTGCATGAACACAAATTTGAGAAACTTTACATGAGTATTTTCATTTGATGTCACTTTACAGCTGCAAATATTAATTGATTAATCGATTGTTTGATCGACACGCAGCCATTTTCCTGGGAGAACTTGGGAGCCCCTGATGTGTATCACTGAAAAAACAAAATTTTAAATATCCTAAAAACCATAACTTCATTCATAACATTTCTTCAACATATATACTAGTATTCAAGTGTGTGAGCATCTGCATCAAATGCTCTCACCTCCCGAGCCGTTTTCTTATCCTTTCATCGCAACTGTTTCGTCTGTTATGTCTCTTGTATGTTGAATTATCATTTTTCTCCTGACCTGTTTGCGTGTTGTATTTCGCTGCTTCATAGGTGAAATAATTTTTGACAGGAGCACATCACACATGAAACGTGAACCTGGGGCGAGTGCACATAGAAGATTAACATATGAGGAAGCAGTGGAGGAAGCAGGTAAGCCAACGTTCAATGGTGTAGTATCTTTAGTCTGTAAGTTTTGTTTTGTCATGCTCTTGAACATGATAAGGAAAGTAAAATGTGAGGTGAAACGAATGTTACAAGTTAATATACTGTATTTTTGGTGTTAAAAAAAAAAAAGTCCACAAGCTGTTTTTTATATACTATGAAAACTAAGAAATACAAGGATTTGTCCGAGTAGTGAGCAATGAGAATACAATTTATAATATGATTTGGGTACATTATTGTGAGAGTTCACCTCAGTTTCTGCCACATTAGATCGTATTTGTTCACCTAAATGCAGTTTAATGTTACTTGATACTTTGGTGTGTGAAAGCGAGGTGTCAGTTTATCATGATGGGCAGGGCAGCTAGACTACATCACTGTTGATTTTATGCAAAATCAGCCTACAAAGACCTCAGAGGATCCTTTTATTGGATAACTTCCCTCTTTTTTTTATGTGCTCTTTGTTCTGCTTTTGCTCTCAGGTTTTGGTTTATTTCACTGGCTGCTGTTGGTGGTTTGTGGTTGGGCCAATGCCAGCGATGCTGTGGAGATTCTCTGCGTGTCTTTTCTCCTGCCAACGGCGCGCTGTGATCTGCTGCTGAGCTCTTCAGACATGGGCCTGCTGACTGCCAGCATCTTCCTAGGTGAATAACAAGCATTAATAACCCGGTTATCATACCTGAGCAGGTACAGTTCACCTCTGAGTACAGTAACAGAAAAACCAGAGCAGCAACATGTCACCAGTAGACAATGGCATCTTTCTCATCCAAAATCTTGTATCTGTCAAAGTAAATGTAAAGTTGTCTCAATGGCATTTACATGTATAAAAAGGTGGATACTGGGAAGAAGGGCAGTGGGACACACAAAGATAAAAACTAGATGTTAAAAATGTTTCATAATCTAAATTTTAACTATCCAATCTACTCGAGACTCAACAAACAAAATGAAAATTAAAATATGGTTTTTAAGTTTTTGTCTTTTTGTGGTGCAAGCAAGTTAAAAAATATATTTGGAGCTTTAATGTTAGTAAACCTGAGGAACAGTTTATGAGTTATAATTATTTTACATTGTTTCACATGTTTTAAACATCTTATGATCTTATGACATTTCATGACCTTATGATAATAAACTGTACAAAAATTGATAAAATGGAATATACAACCAAAGTAAAATCTGAAAAGACTGAAACTATCAAATGTACCATGAAAAACAGCTAAAACTAAACTGAACAGACACCGTATTGAAAATTTAAAAGAAGTAAAACTCCCATTAAGTATTTGATAACTATAATTGGTAATCTAGTGAGTTTAAAAGTTTAACTACAATAACTAAATGTTAAAAGGAAAATATAGTATCAAGAATCTTTCAAAAAAAATAACACATCACGACATTTAACAAAAGTAAGATAAGACGGCACTGCCTTATTTTAAAAACATATTATATATATATTTATTAATATTTTGTCATTCTCATATTCTTAATTTCTGTTTCCTAGGAATGATGGTGGGTGGTTACATGTGGGGGTACTTGGCCGACCAGAGGGGGCGCTGCAGAGTCTTGGTTGTGTCCCTGACAGTAAACGGAGTGTTTGGAGGTCTGGCCAGCGTGGCTCCAAAGTTCTGGCTCTTCTTGCTGCTGCGGTTTATCAGTGGCATCGGGTGAGCACATGATTTGCATTTTTCATTTACGTGGTAGTCATTAAGTGGTAGCCACACACTGGATCAAGTCTCTCAGAGTGGTTAGAGAGACCATCCTGCAGCAAACAGGTCATTTTAATCCTAGACTGAAAGACATTTTGGAAAAAAAAAGAATCAAAAAGAACAGAACATACAGGAAAATGCCCTTGATAATTTACCATGGTGACATCTTCATATTTCTTCTTTTATCCAACCAGCACTCTAAAACTCAAACACATTTGTATTATGATCTTATATATAATAAAGAAAAGAAGCAAAGTCCCACAATTGAGAAGCTGAAACCAGACAATGTTTGGCTGTTCTGCTTGACAAGTGATTGAAATTATTATTTTCTTATCAAGGTAGTTGCTGATTGATTTAAGAGTGAATCCAAAACACAACAAGGCAAAAAAGCAAAAAACAAAAGCAGATTAGCAGTTAGCGCCTATTCATAGTGCTTACATTAAACAGTGTAATTTTTTGAAATGCCAGAATTTTCTTTCAAATTTGATCAAAACTTTGCAAAACTGACTGGATTTCAAGGATAGAAGTGATAAATGTTGATTTCTTCTCCCTCTGTAGTGTCGGCGGGTCGATCCCTGTTATCTTCTCGTACTTCTCAGAGTTTATGCCCCGACTGAGGAGAGGTAGAATGATCAGCGCTCTGGCCACCTTCTGGATGGCAGGAAACATCCTGGCTGCAGGTGGGAAGAGACACAAATCCCTAAAACAGTTCAGTGTGTTATCTCACTTCTTAAGACAACTTTTTATTTAAAAAAAAAAAAAAAAAAAAAAAAAGCTTTGATGTCTTTTCCATTTCATTTATATTTTACCTGTACCTGTATTTAAAAGTGCTATAAAAAAAAAAGTCTTATTATAAGAGTTATATGCACAAGTGCTGCCACCAAGGTTGTAGGTGTGGTCTCAACATTGGTAGGGACACAACAACACAACTGTCAACAGAATGGTTTATCAACATCTGTATTTACATTAAGATCTGTATTTACCTGTATTTACATTTAAATAAAAACTATACACAGTAACAAATCAAGGATTAAAAGAAATAAACTTTAGGAAATTACTTGTTAACGGAAAAGAGAGAAAAAAAGATTGAGAATGTTTTTGCAGTTTTGCATCCATCATCAACATTTTTATATTCATTAGCTCTACCAGTGTTGCAGTTCCCCCTCCCCTCTTGATTTCACATTTAAACCACAGTAAAATGCTGCTAATTCAGTGATGCATCAGTATTGGTGAAGATGGTGAAGAAGCTCCTGACGTCTCTTTCTTGGTGCCACGATATCTACAAAATACAAAATGTGTTGGCATGGACAAAATGTTGGCAATAGAGGAAAGGGAGTCATCTCATTTACAAAATTGTTGCCAGTGCTTGAGGTCTGAACTGAATCTGATAATTGACACACTGATCCGCTCTCATCTCGTGTGTGTCTGGCAGTAAGTTTGATATTTGTACATGACGTGAGTCTCCAGTTGGTTCCCACACTTTCAGCCAATCCAATTCTAGCATGAAAATAAGGAGAGAGTGCTTATATAGTAGAATACATTATTTCTACTAGTTAAATTGAGTTGAGCTTAGATTATCTATCCCTACATATGAAAAAAAAAGATAGTGGTCTGGTAGCAGAAGCTGAGCTGGATCACTAGTCCTGACCCTAAATGAATTCAAACACAAAGATTTAGACTTACAAACTGTGGTGAAGGAATTAACTTCCTTGTCAGGCACTATCAAAATAAGACAAAACATAGAGTTTTGAAATGAGAACTCAATAGTAGCTTGTGTTTAGTAGTGGCTGTCTTTGTCTGCAGGTCTGGCCTGGCTGGTGATTCCCAGAACCTGGGCGCATTTCTTCCTGGGGGGGCTGGACTTCCAGAGCTGGAGACTGTTTGTGGTGCTCTGCTCCGTTCCCAGCCTCACGTCAGCCATCCTCTTCAAGCTGCTCATGCCTGAAAGCCCAAAGTTCCTCATGGAGGTATTCAAAGTCTAGACCTGGGCTTGTGTCAGCAGGATGTTTTCTGTCCCAATCTGTCTGATTTTAACCCTGTCTCTGTCAGGCTGGTCGGGAGAAAGAGGCGCTCCGTGTCTTCAGACTGATGTTTGAGCTGAACATGAGGGGAAAAGGAAAGACTTTCCCGGTATGAAATAAATACTGTTCCTATATGCTTTAATGGATTTATTGTCATTGTTTGGTTGTACAGATTTAACTGGTTTTATCTTAATTAGATGATAACAGACTTCCTGTATTGTTTCTACAGCACTGTGCACTGGTGTAAGCGATGACTGTGATCTTGCTCTAATCTAATCCTTCTTTTGCAGGAATTTGGTTTGTGTACGAGCTCCAAGCACAGAGCGGAACTGGAGGAGACCAGAACTCAGGGTTCATGTCGAGAGCGACTTGTCAGTATTTTAAAAAAGGTACAGTCTCACACACTGGACATCCAAAGAGAGGATTCAGAGGTTGTCTGAGAAGAGTACAGAAACACACTTTATTTCCCCCCTGTTACTTAGAGCCATTTCTTGTTTGACCAATATATCACCCTGTGTTTCTTTGTGGTACCTGAGGCAGCAAGGCCAGATTAACATGCTGTAGGGCCCCATGGGCGGAACTCTAGCACTGGGCCCCATTAACATCCTGTTCTTCCTCCTCCCTGTACAGGCTGTGTAGTTTCTCTGTGTTGAAAAATGACCTGGCTGCAGGTTTAGAGCTGCAACTAAACCTGATCGACAGGTCCAGATAAATGGACTAAATACAAACGGCAACCTCCGAGGCTGAAAAATGAGGCCAACATGGAAGTACCAAAAATGAATGACTAGTAATAGTGACTCAATCCCCATAGACTCCTATGTTAAAATGTCCAACTTTATGTTTACAGCCTGGTACAAAAACAGTTTTGGTCTCTATATATAATTTCCTCCTCATGACAACTGTAGGGAGGATGGATTTTTATGTAACTCACTCGTTTGAATTTTATTTAGGCTTAAAGTTATGCGTAATTTGAGGGCGTGCCGCTTTGAGTGACAGGTAGGGGTGAGTGTATGCTCGCGCCCCTCATCTTTGCCCATTGTTGGATTAGCCGGGAGTTAGGTAAAGTCAGGTACTGGCAAGATGTCGACGAAGGAACTGCCCCACTCTGAGTTTCAAAACCGCTCTTCACAAACCTGTGGGCGACGTCACGGAGGCTACGTCCATCTTTATTTACAGTCTCTGACTAAATATCTTACCCTGCTCCCACAACGACTGTTCCAAATTTAGTTTGTGATCATTTGATTATCTCAAATGAATTAATGAATATGCAAACTGTAAACATAATATTAACTGAAATATAAAATGTATTTATCTAGAATTTGACAGATAAGACCAGACCAGGAGATTAGGTAAAGAAGCAGGATCCACCTTAAACCAGTTCAGTGTTTATTTAATAATTTTCTTCTTATTTCTAAGTCATTTTAGATAATCTCTCTGGTTTCACTTGCAGGGCTTGATGCCCATTAAACAGATGTTTAATGGTCCACTCAAATCCAGGAGTATCGCTCTGCTCATCATCTTCTACTGCATCTCCTTCGGGTGAGAAATCCCATCTGTTTGTCTCCATAGAAACTTAGCAGCGTCTGTAGTGAAACAGAAGTTCCCCTTTGTACTTCTGTAGTGGGGGGATTGTGTCAGGCTTGACAAATACATGTTAAGGACCGGTTTTATCATGCGTGTTTCAGCACTGTTAATGTGATCAATCTCCCACAAGCAGCTCTGCAGCTTTGAACGGCTGCGAGAGATAACAGCTGGAAATACTTTATCGTCAACAACCAGAAATCCTGTAACTTAACTTCAAAAACTGCTCAAAAAGATGTTCTTCTTTACTAACTTGTGTGTGAGGCTTTGTACCAAAGAGCAGCGAACAGTTACCAGAAGTAAAATATCCAATAGCAGTGATTCCAGTTTCATCTTCTGGGCTGCTGACTCACTGCTGTTTGGGACACTGTTTGTGCTTTGTTGATGTTTCAGCCCTGGTGTTGGAGAAAAACTACTGTTTCCTTTACTCTCTACTTTTTAACATGCGTGTCTCTAGTTACTACGGGCTGTGGATGTGGTTCCCCGAGCTGTTTGCCAGGGTTGAGGACGGCGGTTCACCCTGCGCCAATGTGTCCCTTCCATCTGCACTTCACAACCAAAGCTGCTACCCGGTCAAGACAGCAGGTGTGTTCCTGGGATAACAAAGAACTGTGAACGATGAACTGTTTAGATATTGGTGGTCATAGGTCAAGGTCACTGTGATGTCACAAAACACGTTTTTGGTCATAACTCAAGAATTCATTCACTAATTATGACACAATTTAACTCAAATGTCTATAAGGATAAAATGGTTAATTGATGACATTTTATATCCAAAAGGTCAAAGATCAACTTCATTGTGACATCATAATGTTCTGTCAAAATCACTTCTGGCCATTATTGAACACTATAACTCAGGTAGGGGAAATTGTGACCATATTTCCTGTAACTCAGCTGGTTGGCAGAGGCAAACAACCACAAGGCGGTAATTCTAGTTTATTTCATCCTGACTTTCCCTCCTGTATCTGTTCCTCTCCTGACAGTGTACATGGAGGGCTTCGCCATCGCTGCATCAAACCTGCCAGGCAACATCTTCACCATCCTGAGGATGGACAGCACAGGGGGAAAGGCTCTTCTGTGTGAGTCTGTTGTTTTATAAAATGATTTATTTCATGGTTTAATTTGGCAGACATGTTGTGATACAGCATCTGTTTGAAATGAAGTTTTGCATCCACTCCCCACAGGCTCAGTGTTAGATTATTTACTTTGAAAAACCTTCCCTCCTTCTTCTGACTAGTAAGACAAAACTTCTGAGCACACTTCACTGTCACAGGAGAAGTCATGCAGCCACAACATGAATCGTTGCCCTTGATGTCTGATCTTAACCCTCTCCATCTTTTCTTCGTGTCTCCAGCCTTCAGCCTGGTGCTGTCCGGTCTGAGCGTCTTCTTCATCTATGTGGTCCAAACCAAAACCCAGAGTCTGGTCCTCTCCTGTGTCTTCAGCGGTGTGTCCGTGATCGCCTGGAACTCCCTGGATGTGTTGGGAACAGAGCTCTACCCAACGCAGCTGCGGTACCTCTTCTTAAAACTTAACTTAAAAGAACAACAAGGTTCAGAAGAGCAGCTTAAATGTTACCTGTGCAGCTTCTGACCAAGAAGAAGACTGCAAGTAAACAGGGATGTAAAGAATGTGGTTTCAGAACGCAAAAGAGAAAATCATCTTTGTTTCGTGATGCATTAAACATGTTTGTCAGACCTTCAGATTTCACACAGGGTTTTGATGAGTGACAGTGACTTTAAGAGAAAACCCTGCAGGGTATTATTTATTTTTCTCTTTTTCATTCTATCACTTTTAAATTTTCTGTGTTTTTTTTTTGTCACCAAGAGACCTGCCAGTGGATCTCAAGACTCAGATTTATGCTCTTTTTCTTGTTTCACCTCTCCAGGCCTCCAGAAATCAATCTAAACAATCTAAACAATCTAAACAATCTAAACAATCTAAACAATCTAAACAATCTAAGGCAAAAAGTTTGGGAGCCATTGTTACGGGTCACATCAGAGAAAATTCAGTTAAATGTTCTCAAGGTTTCAGCCACTTGTGCTGAGAACTACAGAAAGGATTTAACTGGTATTTCTTATTATGTGCTGATGATTTATGTTGCTTTATTTACTCTCCTGGATTCTTTATTTTTTTAGCATAAATAAAGAAATAAAACGTCACTTTCATCCTGTCAGAATAAGCAGTTTCTGCTGTCGCAGTTTTGCACTGCATTAGAAATGAGACAAAAACATTGTAGTCAGGCTCTGGGGCAAACATAAAGTAGACAGTGACAAGTTAAGTTGTTGGAGCACTTTTAAAATTTTGCCAAATAATGCTTCTGCTGCAGTTTTGTACAAAATGTTAAAGTAGGTTTTTAAAAACAAAACAGCCCAGATGCTCACGTGTCCACATCTCCTGTGTCTTTCTTTCCTTCAGGTCGTCTGCTCTAGGTTTCTTCACAGGCGTGGGCCGAGTGGCAGCAATCATGGGTAACGTAGTCTTTGGAAAGTTGGTGGACACGAACTGTGCCGTACCGGTCCTGATGGTCTCCGCTCTGCTGCTGACCGGAGGACTGGTGGCTCTTCTGCTGCCACAAACCAAGCATACTGAGCTCACCTGATCCCTGGTGTTTCACATGAATAAAATATTAGCAAACACCCTCTGAATGTCCTTAAGGAAGCAGACTGGAGGATTTCCACCTGTGAAGTCCTCTGATCATATCTATATATGTGTGTGTGTGTATATATATATATATATATATATATATATATCTGTTTCTGCTCCCAGAGGATGTTCGAATGCTGTGCCTTCTGTCTCTCTTTATGGTGCCTCATTTAATATGCCAAAGGACAGCAGCCTCTCTGCGCCTTCCAAGAAATATTCTTCAGGAAAGAGAGTAAGAAGAAGACATGTAGTTGTGCGACAGTCTATACTGTGAGCTCGTGAGGATTGAAATCCTCCCTAGATGTGAATGAGGCGTCAAGGACTCCTTTAAAAAGTTGGTTTACAGACAGATCTTAGTCAGAGACGTAGTTGTGACTTGGAGGCTGATGATGGCCTCCTTTATAAACATGCCCCTGAATGTTTTTGTCACCTTGAACTGAAAAGGCTCTGTCAGGATGTTTCAGGCTTTTATGTGCTATGTTTGATTAGTTGCTGTTAGTTACAGATATGTCTGAGATGTGTCCATTTCCAGCAGCAGCTGTTTGACTTTGTAAAGGCTTTTGTTTTTCAGGCTCACTGACTCATTATATTATATTATATTAGCACACACCTGTAGCTTTGAGTTTTCTAACATGTCAGTTTAAAAACAAACTGAAAAGATTCCAGGTTTAGTTTTTAGTTTTTTAAAAGTGCTCTTTTTTAAATTCCAAATCATGTTTCCATCTACGCAAACAGTAGACTCAGATTCATTTTCACTTGAGAAGAGTCGTTCGATACCAAATCTGTCATTTCCTGCACAGACTGGACCAAACCAGTTCATCATTCCAGTGGTAAACCAAAGATGTCTGATTTCAGGACTAGAACAGGTAGAGATACAAATGAAGAAATGTTTTTATCGGCCTGATCAGCTCATATTCCCATCAGTGATTTTTTTTTAAAGTCTCTGTTTTCAGACAGGTTTCAGATTACTCTGTGACTACTGAAGCAACAAAAAAAACAAACACTTGTTTTGTTGATCTCAGCAGCGTCTGCCTTGGTGTCGTATCACCTGTACATGTACAATCATAAAGCTCGGATTGTGTTGGATTCAGATCCTTCACTTAAGTGATTGAACCAATGCAACAAGCAAAAGTCCTGTATTCAAAAACCCGATGAACTAAAAGTACATTAGTATTATGTTAAGCTTTCAAACTTATTTAAATGAAACAATGTGAGAAGTTTAGAAGATAAGAAACAGTTTGTTTTTTTAAACAATGATTGTAATCTGCTTATTACATGTGTATATATAAAATCTGAATCTGAAAAATAACTAGAAAGTGAAAAGTACAATATATCCCTCTGAAATGTAATGGAGTACAAAGTAGTATAAAATGGAAATGATCAGCAGAGCAGTAGTTGAGTAAATGTCTACACACCTGTGTATAACCTGTGGAGAAAATACAGCAGACTGTTTTCAACCTCTGGTCTCGACTTGTTCTACTGTTCATCACTCATTTAATAGAACTGACAGCTTGAGATTGAACAGTGCTGCAGTGCAGGAGTTTTTTTTCTTGTTTGGTGGCCAAAGGACAAAAGACACAATCATTGTATCTGTATTTTTTATTTGTATAATAAATAAACTTGTAATACTTCAGGACCACATTTCACAACCACACACAGGGTATGATAAACTGTACTTTGGGTATTTGAAAGCGGATGCAGATCAAATAAAATGCCAGTCATGATTTATGATTTGGAGAATCGTTTGACATTATCCAGCAGTTTTTTTTCGTTGGATTTTTACATTAAAAGTAGAATTACTTACTCTTTACATTCTTCATAATGACTGAGCTGCACTGACTGGAAGTTTCAGGTCTGAGTTGGTTGAATGTAAACAATGCAACAAGTAGGAAAATAAAAGCGTCATCACTGCTGCTCAACTTTCTATGACGAGGCTCGATGTTTCTCTGGACTGTTACTCCTTTGGTAAAACACAACAATAAAGAAACAATAAATAAAAACACAGATAATGTGTCAAAGATAAGAAAACATGAGCCACTGGACACATGAGAGTCCATGACGAAAAAAAAAGAAGCCACATGACCTTTGACCTGAAATCAAAATGTAATAAAAGGCATGAAAACAGTGTCACCTGACAAATGAGATCAAGGCAACACTTCACCTGAAAATGTTTGACATTATCATAAGCACATAATCTAAAGGTGGTTTAACTGATTCTTAAAAGCTTAACACTGTCTTTAACATAGTGTCAGAGGGAAACCATGTTTCGGGAATGAAAGCTTGTTTAAGAAATGGACTAAAATGAAGCTGTGCAGCAGCTGCTGTGAGCATGTTTACACCAGGTGTTTCAGCAACAAGGTGAATAAGCGTACTTCGCAAAATGTCATATATATTTTCCAAAATAAAGGTTTTCCTGAGGGCAAAGTTTGAATACTGATTTTTGTAGAGCTGAAATAATTGGCTGATCGACAGGAAATGAATCAGCAGCTGTTTTGATAATCTATAATTACTGTCAAGCAAAAGTGCAAAAAAAGAAAAAGTTTCAGCTTCAATAATTTAAATATTTCCTGTTTTTCTTAATTTCCTGTGATATTAGAGTGAATGTCTTTCACCTTGAGCTTCAATTAATAATGAAAATAAGCGTCAATTGAAACCCTACAGTTTGGTGACTTTTGTTAAGTAAATCAGTTTCAGTCATTTTTAAGGTTTTCCACATTATTCATTTCTACAGTAACATTTTCAAATCTGTGAGAAACTGACAGAGAAGTGTCGGTTTGTCAAGTAATAAATTTATGATTAAAGAAAGGCAGGTAAATCATTTTTAATCTTTGTAGCCTGCAGCGCCTCAGCAAAGACAAATTATTCTTACATACTGCAGTAGTATCGATATTTTTGTTTGACTGATGACTATAATTATGATGTGCTTCATGATTGTTTCAAGTCAAGTGTTACATGAGTCATTTTTTGAAAACACCTAGTTAATGTTTGCCAGGTCATTATTCAGTATCATCACGCCCACAAACACACACACTCACACACACTCGCACACACCACACCTTATAGTAGTACTGTATTACATGTGGCAGTACATACAATGACATTTATACATCTTCAGGTTTTATAAACGCCCCACATACTGTAATGAATATGTGCACTGCGACAGCTGCTGGAGGCAGATGCTAAAATCGCAGTTTATTTCCAGGAGTGGTGAGTTACTGATAAACAGTGTTACTGTGCCTAAATGGATTCAGTTGTAGGAAGCTGTTGTCTCGGTCGAGCCTTCGTGCTACATTCAAGTCAAGGCCCCAAATGACTGGATGAGTATTGATGAAGCTGATCTTACAGACCGTGTGTTTTTTTCCTGTTGTTGGGGAATTTATACCTACAGTACATTTTCTATCACCTATAATGCCTACATCTTAAAATAGTTGGTAACTAACAAGCTACAAATGAAAACTGGAGTGACAGGTTTGTGTGTCCACTTGTCACGGAATAATAAAAACTTTAACCGCCACTTTATTTCTAAAGAATCTCAATAGAAGAAGAAAAACTCAATTTTATGATCTAATAATCCAGCTGTAGTTTACTGTTCTGTTTTAATCTTCACATCTTCAGGTGACGCCACAGACACACAGATCCTACATCCCTCACTTGCAGTACATTTTCAAAGCCTTACGCTACATCTCATGGCCTGCCTCAGCAGCTGGAGTTTACACAGATGTTATCACGTGACTAAGTATGAAAGTACAGTCATGTCATTACAGTTGACTGTATTATGGGGAGTCAGGAAGGGGTTGTCACTGCTGTTTCTAGTTTTAGTTTTTTATTCACAGGCAGCTGATGTCTTCAGTCTTTATCTCTGATCTGCTGCTACATGATGACCTGTCCAGACTTCTCAGGTCTTCTTACTGTCCCTGGAGTCAAAACTAAATATAAAGAAGCAGCATTCAGTTTTTATGCACCACATATTCCAGAGCACTTAACATCTGCTCCAACTCCAGGCTTAAAACTTAACATTTGGGACTATTCATCCATATCTTGCACTGAATTGTAATTCCTCTTTTATTCAGTTTATCTTCTATTTCATTACGATTTTAAGATCCTATTTATACAGTATGTATCTTTTTTATAACCCCTTGTGTTTCTTGTCTATCTCTTTTTCACCTTTTTTATGTACAACACTTTGAACTGCACTGTTCTTGCCTGAGGAAGGTCATGAGATGTAGCTGAAAGCTTGGAAAACTTTAAGTAAGTGAACCTTGTGCTCAAACTGCTGTTTCCAAAGCTCAGACTGAACCTGCAGGCAGGATCCTGAAATGTGGAAATTACTTTTCATCCAAAGTTGATTTGAATTTCCACTAAAGGGTCCACTAAATCCAGCTGTGTCCTCAAGGAGGGAAATTAAGATGCTAAATAAGTATTTTTGGATAATGATGTGTGGCAAACTTTAGAGGGAAGCAAGGTCAGGTCATATCGGGTCCAACATCAGTCACATCTGATTGTCATGAATATCGCGTATAGCTGTGGCATTCACTGTTTCTTGGAGTAATTTCTAAAAGTGGGAGGAGGGGCTCTTTAACATTACATCGAAACTGGAGTTAAACATTCTGGAAACGTCCTCAGTGACACTGCTTACAGGAGAACGGAGGAGATGCTACACGTGACGAGTCTCGGACGATATCTGAGAGGTGGGTGGAGCGAGGGGGGCGGAGGGCGATGGTCGAGCACGGTCACACCGGTCACTGCGTCAAAGCCAGGAGGATGTCTTTCACCAGCATGGTGCCGATCACCATCTTCTCACAGTTGACCGTCAGCTGGGCGGCACCTTCCTCTTTGTTCGCCACGGTGACCAACACCAGGCTGCCGCTGGTCACCGTCCTGCCGGCGAACCTGTGGACAGGATGGTCAGGAGGAGGAACAGGAGGACTGAGGTCAAAGCAGCAAAGGTCAGAAGTAAAGACGAAGCCACAGAATAAAGGAGAAATACGCACACGTGTCAGTCAAGAGGGTTTAAATAAAAACAACATGAACAGCAGCTGGTGAATAATGATCTATAGGGATTAAAACATGCTGTATTTATACTTAAAATCAGCTCAAGATTAACTTGACAAATCTAATTAAAGACAAGAATTTCTAACCTGCTTCACCACAGATCCAGTTTGACAAAGTTTGAGATGGAGGAAAGAAAAATGCCTCCAGTGGAGGTGTGAAATCTTCACAACATTAATACTGTAATAATAAGTTCAATAAGTTAATCTTGATTTCAGTGTGTTAAAATGTTTACTGAAATCTCTATTATCATTTGGTAGAATGTTAAAATCAAACAATATGATAAAAACCTCATGAGGTGATGAGTTTTGACAAAAGTGGTCTTATAATTCATGAGAACTGTGAACCACGATATCTTCATGTGGGAATATAAATCACTGCAAAATTCAGAACATTAATACCTGATTATCACCCAGTTCTGCAAACACATTGTGTTTAAAACAGTATTTGATCTTAATTGGTCTTAATTGGTATGACGTGTCAACCACTTGTGTCCTCCATGTGTTTTGCACTATGGTTTTGCAATATGTTTACAACCATTGCAGTGATGAGCCAGATGGGGGCAGTATAACTTCAAGTCAAGTTCTCCCATAGGCAAATGTAATATATGTATTGAATTTCCATATATGGAATATATGTATGTACGAAGTAAAATAATATATGTACATATATGTATATGTAGTCTATGTATGTAAAAATTACAGCTATTAGAAATTGCAGCAATTTCATATATTGACATATGTGTCTAGTTAATACAAACATGTATGTTTATGTATGTATGTTTATATTATAGATATATGTTATGTAAATATATATCCATCCCAAAGCCTGTCAGTATATGTTTATATCATATACGTAAATATAAAAGATAGACATGTATGTTTAAAATTAATAAGAAATTAATAAGAAAAACATATATTAACATACATATACATATACATAAACATATAGAAGAAGTATGTTGTTTTAATAAACTTGCATTTTACTATGAATATGTCATATATGTTATAAACTTATATCTTCATATGTATATGTGATAATAATATATCTCCTTATAGTTAACATATATGGCAACATCAGTCTTGATATAGGGACATATATTATATTTCTTTATGGGATTAAAAGCCACAACTGAAGAAGTGACATAAACCTGGTTCACAATCCGGCCATGAGGCCACTACACACCCACACACACACACACACACACACACACACACACACACACACACACACACACACACATTTATCTTTGGTCATGTTTAGCCACACATTACAAAACAAAGTGTCTCAATCCAAACACAGAGTGTGCGTCAGGTTGTGCGTCTCCATATTTTGATAAAACGCAGCCCATAGTGATCCTACATTCTTTCTGTCAGATAACAAACACTGTCTGTGGCCTCACTTAGACTAAAGCTCAGCACCACCACAGCCTTTGGTTACTGCTTCTTTTAATCCTCTCACCTGCACTCTTTATCTGAACCACAGGGGACTCTGCTGAGGTTGGCGGCGGTGGTCACCCTCTGGACGATGGCGTGTTCGTTCCGGCACTGGACGTCCAGAGTCAGCTTCTCTGTGATTTCATTCATGCCCATCAGCTGACCTGCAGGGGTGTGAGCAGAGCACTGGTCAAACTGCACAGCTCTCAAGCTTCTCACTCTCTCAGTAGCAAAAAAAGCAAAGCAGTCATCATTTATACAACAATACAGAACAGGATGCTGCTTGTGTCAGTACAGTGCTGCTTTATACCAATAAAATCAAATTATTGTTCAGGATCTCTACCAGCTACAAACATATACAGTATTATACTCAGATACTGTATACATGTCCTACATCTACAGTGATGTCTGCATCACCACAAGCATCTCCTACAGTCCTCTGAGGGATTGATGTGATCATTACAAAATGCTGCTTAAATCTAAACTGGAATGCTTTCCACTGAACACAGTCGAGCAGTGATTCAGTTTCCTCAGTGAATTCACAGCACAAAAGAGGCAAACGTGTGCACTTCCAGCCTAGTTTAATGCCTAATGAATATTCACTGTCGTACTATGACATGGGGGAATTTTGCACCAAAGCGTTTTTCTCTCCAAGAACAACTGTAAGACTCTAACATGAAAGTGGATGCCTCCCAGGAAACACTGATTTCGGTGATTTGCAGGTCAAACGACATCAGGATATATGTGCTTTCATGTGTCTTCATCACATATAATTGTTGTTTCAACAGCATTTGAATGAGCACATTTCACCGTTAAGCATTAATTAACTGCTGCTGAAACAATCAGGCACTTGACACAAAATTCATCAACAAGCGTTTGATGAAGTGACTGAACGTTTAAGTCATTTATCAAACTAAAATACCAAACATTTGCTTAATTTGATGCTTTTTTTCTCTGCTTCATGCCGTTGTATATTGTGCGTCTTTAGGTTTTGGACTGTTTGTCGGACAAAACACCACCTCAGGCTCTGAGGCAAGAATTGATCTCTTTTTTCTGACTCAAATTTGTGCTTTTTCCTGTGAATCACTAGATAATTTTTCATATTCAGGCCTCTTGAGAAGCATTCAGATAAAACAGTTGAACTGGCTGAGAGAGGCAGCGGCGGCAGAGGAAACAAGGTGAGTGAACAAGAAAGCTAAAACTTTTATTTCCTGATTGTCTCATGGAGGTTATGCCATAAAACAGAAATAAATAACCATCTGACTCTGAGCAGATCGTTTCTGTGGAGTCTCTGGAGATATCAGTCTCCTTTTCATACATTCATTACAATCAACTCACACATCAGAGTCATGCAGCAGTAAATACTGGGGAAGTGCTCAGAAAGGACTTTTAAATCCTGGTTTAGTTCCCCTGGTTCTACAGTTCCTGGAAGTTTGTTTTAGTTGAAAAGGGGCTGAAGCTTCGTTATAAAGCGGCCTGAGCCAAAAAGGCTGGAAAACAAATATCTGTGACTCAAAAATAATCAGCAAATGAATCACTGATGAAAATACAGAACTGTGTGTTAAAATAGAGTTATTAAAACTAAAACATCTACAGAAAGCTCTTATTCTTTTAAGTGGCTACAATCAAGATTTTTATAACAATAATTTATCAAATGACAATGTGAAAGGGGTCACTCATACACAGGATTATCACTTGAATCTGCAGCTCCCCTCAGCTTTACTGAGCTTTATAGTGAGTTTCAGCTCATTGTTCAGCTGTTACTGTTCGGGATCAACCTCACTGCTCTCATAGTGTCATTTTGTGAGGTGGCAGGCAGCTGTTTTCAGTGAGTAAGCTCTAAAAACTCACTGTGCACTCTGCCCAGCACCCAACAGCAGACAGACACAGCTAGAGAGCAGCTGGTGAACATAGTCGAGCGTTTAGCAGCTAAAGAGCCACATGTTTCCCTCTGGAGATGGTATCATCATCATCATATATATCATATATCATCATATATTCATTAGATGGCCAGAAACACAACTGTATTCAGCAGTTGTGTTTCTTGCCCATTTTTGCTGGGAGTTAGGTGGAGTCAGGGACTGCCAAGATGGTAATAGCGGAGCAGCTCACTCTGAGCTTCAAAACCATTCTTAAGAAATGTATGGGTGAAGTCACAGTCACATCCATCTTTATGTACAGTCCGGGCACGGCTCTAGACATGGGCATGGGGGGGGGGCACTGCCCAACAAAATTCAAAAAATTAACTATAGCTATAACTATAACTATAAGTACTTTATTTTGTCCTTGTCAATTTGACCAAAAACAAGCCACATTCAAATAATTAAAGTTTATTTATATCTGATTGGTTGGTCTGGCCATATAAAAACTGGATACAGCAGGGACAGCAGTTGCTTCACTATCATTTCGATCGTGATCCCAGTTTAAAACTCAAAACTGGTATTGCCAAATTCATTATAGCGTCCCCTTTAAACAGAAAATACATGAATAGACTGGAAAAATACTGGATTAAGGCAGATAGCTTATTTTTAATATACCAGTCCATGTAAGAATAGATAATTGGATATAGATAAAGTTGTCCTCTTATGGGGGGGTTATGTATAATTACATTCATTGGCTTAAGTTTTAGATAACATAAAACAGTACATGTCATAGCTTACACTCCTAAAGAACACTCATAGAGTATCCCAGTAACAAGTCTTGAGGTCAGTTAGTGACCAGTCAACATATCTTAATGCCCCCCCCCCCCCAGTCAAAGCAGTCTCGACCCGGGTCTGATACAGTCTATGTTCACAGTTGTTTCTGCTGCCCCCAGTGGCCAAAATAGTTATTGTAGGTTTAACCAAATACAGCCTGGTTTGGTTGAACATTGGCTTCAAGATGTCATTTGACCTCCAAACCACAAAAAAAATCTGTGCTTACAGGGTTTGAAAACACAACAAACCATTCAGACAAAAAAAAGCATTGTGACATATGACTTCAGATTCAGCAGTTTGAAAGCTCAGATAACAGAAAGATGAATGATGGGACACATGATCGAGCGCTGCTCTCAGCCGGATGTTGTTATTTTTTTGTCCACATGGTGCCCAAAGACGAGTGAATCAGGATCAGTGGATGAGCATTTCCAGTCATTCCCGGTGTAGCAGAGTGTGAGCGGCCTTTATAAGATGCAGGTTAGCACAGGTGAGTCTGTCTGCAGCTACAGACCTGCAGATGCAGTTAAGTGTTGATTACAAAGGCAGGAGGAGGGGGAGGACGGGGGAGTGGGGGGAGTCAGCAGGAGGTGTTAGAGGAGGGAGGAGGAAGGTGAGGAGGGGAGGAGGGGTCTGTGTGAGGTTGGCTAAAAGGCAGGTGGGCACACAGACAGCTGGGAAGAACAAATCTATCAAAGCCAACTTACCTAGATTCTGTAATAGCTTCTCTATTGAGGACAGTACGGAGAGGGAGGAACCGTGGATATGACACATGTTTAAAGAGTCACTATGGGTTTGTTAGAGCTCAAAACTCGCTCACTGTTAGTCAGGATGGAAAATGAACACCAGACAATAGAAACATGCTGGTACACACTGTCTGCAGATGCTCTACCAAACACTTTGGTCACATTGTTTCTGAAAAACCTGGTTGAATTTTTCTGTATTTATAGTCTAGTTACAGGTAAATACAGCATTCATTTAAAGTTAAAAGATCTATTTTTTGTGATGACACTTATGCACTTGACATAAAATGTGTCTACAGCTTCTATCACAAGGACAAAGTCTTAAAATAAATGCTGATGTGATCTCAGGATATTGTGTGTGTGAGGAGACTGCTAAAGACATAATGAGAATCTTTTGAAAAGAAGTTGCTCTTTTCTCACATTATACTTGCACAAAATCCCAGATAAACCCCTGGCTCAGGATGAATGCCTCTTTAAAATACTTTTGGCTACTAGAACGAAAGCTATCACACTGAAATGACTGCGGGCAAATCCACCAACAAAGGACAACTGGGCTACAATTGTCAATGAAGTCAACTGTTTGGAGAAAATGAGCTTTACTTTAAGATCAGGATTTAGAAATACTGGACAAAAGGACAACATATACAGTATGTGACTATAAGATGTAAGCAAATACACATGACACCGTGCATGACAACCAGCTCTTTTTACTAAAAATAATAATAAAAAATATATAAAATATGTGTTAGAGAGAAGTAGTAAAAAAGCAAATATGAGAAATAAAGCCCCATACAGTTCAGGCAAAGTAGCTAACTTCTCTTTCTCATTTTTATAGATTTGTTTGTTGTGATGTTGTGATGTTAGTAAAGTGACACTGATTTTATATTTCATATGTCTCAATAGAATTATTTAATTTGCTTCAGTCACACACCTTGCTCCTTCTTGAACTCATTCTCTGTGAGGAAGACGGGCCTCATCAGCTCTCCAACCGGCGGCTGGATGGACACGAAGAACTTCCTGGTGTGAGTGCTGAAAATGGAGAGAGACGTGGAAAAAGGAGTTATTAATATATATAAACTTCACTCCTCCATATTGCTTCATTTGTTTCTAAGTTCCTGCACACAGAGCACAAAAGTTGGTAGGATCACACATCACTATATTTCACTTGGCCTGCAGAACAAGTCAAACAAAGTGAGTGTAATTTCAAAAACTTTTCAAACTCAGCAGATTCATGTGAGATAGCTTGTTACGACATCAGCAGTGTAGGAGGACTGCAGGGTCTAAAACAGAATCCATCTCACCACAGCTGGAAGTTTGCCGCTTGCGTCGAGTCACAGAAATCGATGCCCATCACAGCTGTGGCCGACTCACCTGCCGGCAGCAGCTCTGTCAACACAGAGGAAGAAGAGAGACACTAATGTTGACACACAAACAAATAAAACAACATGAAGCTCTTCAGTCAGCAGCACAGCTACTTTGATCTATGAGGACTGGGAATGTATCTTCCAGTCCAGACTGTGTTCTGTGTGATTCACTGAAAAAGCTACAGTACGTCTCAGATCAACACTTCACACTAAGTCTAAGCCGGTTTCCAGTATGTTTAACTTTAATATATTGTTTAGAATTCAGTATTGACACTAAAAAACGATTTTTGAGTGTGTTGCTGATTATTGTGATGACAAAGCTCCAGACAAAGAAAGTGTAAAATGTTTGGGAAAAAAATAAAATTCTCTCAGTGTGAAGTTAAATAACAGGGTTATTCCAAAGACACCGTTTGATTGATAAATATTGTTTCCTGTTAGTATTGAATGATTAAGTACTTTGATTATTTTTTTTACCTTTACAGACCTGATAATAAGTATATAGTAAATACTGTGTAAAATTAGTATGTAGAGTACACTGTCATTTTTAGAAGTTTGTTATATGGTTTAAAGCACATACCTGAGCACATACATCCACTGTATCTTGCAGGAAGCCCAATTTTCTACTTTTATTTTGAAAACATTACAGAAGTCATTCCCACAGTAGCAGCACTTTCTATAAATGTCTTTTGTAGTCATGTGGTTTTAGCTTGTATTTTGCTGTGCTGTCTTTTACATGCATATTCTTTTCTGTTTTATTTTGTTCTAAATGCTTATTTACAGTTCGTTGATTTTAATATATCTTCTCTACAGTTCTTACACTGCATTTTATGGTATTTGGCTTTTTTATTATCTAAATCCTTCTTTGTTGGATTAGTAATTACTACCTCCACCGAGGAGGTTATGTTTTTGTGTTTATTCGTCAGGAGGATTACACCAAAAGTTCTGAACCGATTTGCACCGCACTTGGCGGAGGAATGGGGCATGGCCCAGGGAAGAACCCATTACATTTTGTGCCGGTTCCAAATCATTTACTATGAATTAAAAAGTCTGCGCTTTTGTGAGTGCCCTTCTAGTTTTGATGATAGCGATGAGCCCAAGGACAGTGATGTCGATCTGTCGGTTAAAGACTTTGGTTCAGAGAGAAATCTCTTAACAAACACTGGACAGAATTTGGTGAAGGGACTCATGGGTGTCTGAGAGGATGACTCCTAATGCTTGTGATTCCCTGACCTGTGACCTTGCTCCAGCATTAGGCCAATTTTTTCACCTGAAATGAAATATGATATTTTTTCATGCTCCCAGGAGGATATACCTTTTATATGAACCTCAAACTTCACGTTTCCATTGGTGTTAATGGTAAAGTTCTAAGAGCAGCAAAACCTCAGTATGGTGTTTATTCAATCCAATAGTTCTTTAGTGTACTGGTGAACAAAAAGGCTTCCATACTAATACTGTTACTGGCGACCTTCCTTGGATCATATCGTATCTAAATGTCAGTTCCCATTGTACCTCTTCAGCCCCATCACTCACCAATCTCTGGGAACTCTTTGACTCTCATCCCAGACTGCAGCTTCACGTCCTCCATGTGCAGGCTCTTGGTGTCGGATGTGGAGTTGTTGGTGAACTGCATCTGCACCGCCACCATGTTCGCATCAGAGCTGAACGGCTGCCGGCTGAAGCAATATTCCACCGACAGCCCCTCCCCTGTGATCCGGTGCAGCAGCTCGTAGCTCTTCAACGCACTGGAGGGAGCAATGCTCTGCGAGCAGAGGAGGAGATGAAGAATCATTAACCATTACTGGCTTAACATTGTTTTTGTGCTCTCCTGCGGGTGTGCAGTCTGGGTGACATGGAAATGGTGATAAAAAAAATAAATAAATGAATTTGGAAAACACTATGGGCCCTATCTTACACCAGGCGCATTGTTGGTGCATTGTTATCTTGAGCCAGCTGAAAGCGATTGTGTGATTGACCAGCAAAAACCTGGTCTGAGTCAGTGGTGCAGTACTTCACTGTTATTTTAAGGGCACCTACATAGGCAAGTGCACAATGCACCCCTTACTCACAAGCAGAGTGTGCTGTAAATGCTCTTCAGATGTTTAGATGAGTCAGGTGGAACATTACAGCCTCAGAAGGTCGGAGCAGTCTTTGTGGGATATTGTATGTTGTACAATACTGCCATGCGTCATGGACGTCTCTTGGACATGAATGAGGCTCTGCAGAGAAGTGTTGTTTCTTACTACCTGATAAATCCACAACAGTGTTTCTCATTCATCACCAAGACTAAATTTGTCCACCACAGTTCCATAATGAACCAAAGACTTACTTAGACTTCTCATAATGTAATATAAGAGGTGTCTAATGTTGTGAGTTGGGCTGTTACTTCTCTGTAGACCTGTGCTCAGCACACTGATTCATTTAGCCCTTCTTTGTCCCTCAGAGCTGCTGCTGCTGCCTGTGCCAGGACTGCGCTCATTGGTCAGTCACAATATGTGATCATCTCAACACAAACAGAATCTAACTCAGTGTGAAACACTTGCACACTGTGACACACTTATAATAGCAATCCACCGAGGGGCAAGCGCCCCTGGTTTGTAAAGGGAATGGGAGATGGCAGTCTGATGGGTTTATTGGATGTTATGTCCAAAACACTCCCATGATTAAATAAGAGATTTAGTACAACCCTTTTGAACCATGCACCTGGCGCAGCGACTGTTTTCTGCTGTAAAAATAGCAAAAGTGATATGGACCCGCCCTAAATGCACTTGCGCCACTCCCTTTAGACCGTGTTAAAACAGAGCCCTAAGTCTAAGGGAAAAAGTAAAATAAGTAAGGTAAGGTAAGGTAAAATAGAAATCTACTTTAGAATAATTTCTAATAATTAGTTTAATAGAAAATAAAGGTGCTGTCCAGGACGCTGAGAGACATGAGAAGTGCTTACTGTCGGGGAGAGAACACTGTCAGACAAAGACAAGCCCTCCAGGTCGGTCACGAGGCTGCTGGACAGGAAGGTGTTGACGGGTGTGACTTGAGGAGACGGAGAAGGTTCAACTGGGAAGAGAGACACAAAAAGAGATTCAACAGGGATGTCTCCAACTTCAGGCATGACTGTATTCATCTATTTGTCATATCATCTCCAGTGGGGGGAACAACTGTGTGTTTTTTGCAGTTCCCATGTAACCAGAAGAGTTGGCATAGCAACCGGTCAAGTGCACCTCCTGAGATTTTTAGAAATAATTCACATTTGAAAACGTCCTTGTTCGCTGACTTTGACTGACGTGAGCATCAATACTTCTACATTCTCTTTCACAGGAGAAACTTAACACAAGGACGAAAAAACTCACAATCGTCGAGGTCGAGAAGAGACATTTCTTTCTTCTCTTTCTTGCTCTCTGTCTTGACAGGTTTGGAGGGAGGTTTAGATTCAGCTGCCTGGAAGGAGAAGAAAGAAAAACTGACATGAAGAGACGAAGAACTTTACTGTACGTGATGGTGCATATGGAACAGTCTAAATACATAGCACAATGATAAGATACAGTTTCAGATTTTATTTCAAAGTTTACTTTAAATGATTTTCCTAAAGGCAAGGCAAAATAATTTTGTAGCACATTATCATACACAGAGGTCATTAAATGTGCTCAACAGAAATAAAGGAAGCATAAAAAATAGAATTAAAAACTCATAATAAGAAAACAGTATAAAACAGTATAAAAACACAATTATAAAATAGGTAATAATCGAATTAAAGTGAAAGATTAAAAGATTAAATAAAGCTATGGTTTGGACAGATTTGATATCCACTGGGAGCTGACTCCAACATCTACAGGTGTAGATTTTAAATGTGCAGAGATTCATTGTCATTACCTTTTTTTTCTTTTTGACCTCGGCCTCAGACTCAGAGTCTTCAGACTCTGACTGGCTGCTTTCAGACTCGCTCTCCTCCTCCTCCTCCTCCTCAGATTCAGACTCTGAGTCGCTCTTTCGTTGTTTACTCTTCCTCTCGTGCTTTGTCTCTTCTTCTTCACTGCTCTGCTCGCTGGAAGACGAAAGCAAAGGTTAAAGGTCCGAATTTCTATCTATAACAGATGAGACAGTTTCTACTGTTGTGCTTACAGTTGAAAAAATTAAACTATCCATCAAATCTCACTGGATCTGTTGAAATAGCTGCACGAGGGCCCAGAGGAGATTAAAGAGACCACTACTGACCACAAACTGGGCTTTCACTGTGAAAGGAAACTGTGTGTTCGATTTGATTTACCCAACTACAGGTATAGAAGGAATATTAGAAATGTAGAATTAATAGATATTAAAACATAAAATTCATGCAAAAAGATGGAGTCACATTCTCTCTTTTTGGTTGGAGTCTATAAAAAACACCAGGATAAATCCGCTACCTTTCACTTTCTTGCACTGGCTTCTTTAATTCTTTCTTCTTCTTCTTCTTGTCTTTCCCTCCCTCCTCCTCCTCATCATCCTCTTCCTCAGACTCAGAGCCATCCTCACTCTCTTCGCTCTCTGATCCCGACCCGCTCTCCTCGCTGCCGCTGCCGCTCTCCGAGGCGCTGGCAGAGTCCGACTCTGAAGAGGAACAGTTCAGAGTCCAATGGTGAGGAGGTCACACAATTTTACACAGAAAACAGGGACACGAACGTCTGTCTGGCACATCATGGTATATAAACCATATGCACCACATGCATGTACACAAACACACGTGATCCATGAGACAATCGAGATTTAAACATTCAAAAGAGTCACTGGAATAAAAAATGTCACAGTCAAATCTAAAGTAAAGCTAGTTTTTCCATGACAATCATTTTTCAAATTATCCCTTGTATTACTGATTCCACAGACACATTTTTCCAGAGGCAAGTTGCAATAAAAAAGATTTCGCAGAACCTATAATTGACATTCACAGATTTCTTGTTTCTTGGGCGCAAACAATAAAAACAATGAAAAACAGAGATTAAATGCACAATTTTGTGCCACACTTGCACTAATGATGGTGTATTTTCAGATGTATGCTGACATCCAGACTAGTACTACTAGACAGACTAGTACTACTACTACTACTAATACAAACTCAAATGTGAGAGGCAGTAATAGTAAATTCTTGGACTACAGAAACACCCAAATAACCCAAATAAAAAATCTTTGATATTCTCAATTACGACAGCATGACACAAATTCAAGTATTTTCACTCACACAAACATAATGATTCATCACTGTACTATCACCACTACCAGTTGTACAAGAACAAGGCTGGTGATATTTTACATTTTCCTTATTGTCAACAAATCCCATGGAAGGATTAACATTTACATTTACTCATTTGACAGACGATTTTATCCAAAGCAACTTACAAGTGAGGGACATCACTAAAGCTTCAGTGCAGTAGGAGACCTTGGTGTAAGCACTAAGTACAACATCTATTCAATAAGTGCAAGGAGATCAGGTAAAGAAGTGCATAGTTAGTGCTAGTCAGGCATCAATGCATTGATCCAAACAACAGGTGTTGGCTGTGTATTGGTTTTTCACTGTGCTGAAAATAGTACCCAACGAATAATATGTTTATTCCTGTGTGAGTAATGTTTGCTGAAAACAGCAGTGCCCAGCTGAGAGAGAGCTACTGACAGGGAACGCTTTGGTTTCGATCTTTTCATGGGTTTTGTTGACAATAAAAAAAAAAGAGGCACTTGGTTTTCCTCACGTCCCGCCGTGATCACATGCTCGCAAAGGCAGTAAAATGCTAACAGAAGTTTAATAAAAATCAGTTTTACCTCATAACCATAACCACCCCTAAAACGCCTCCACTCACACCGACTCTCAGCAGAAATCACATGCTCACACGCCAACACATCTGTGCTGGACTCTCCTCATTTCACTACAGGATGCGTTGGCTCTAACCGAGCCAGCAACCCTCTAAAGTTACCACTGTCAGCTGACTCCGTCGGCCCGGACTCGCCCTCCGAGTCCGAGTAGAACGGCTTCTCCACCTTCTTCTCCTTCCGCTTCTCTCGGCTGCTGCACTTGGTCCATTCAGGCACCTGGCGGAGGAAGCAGAGTTCACACAGTGAGCCGTCGGCTGTGCCTCAGTGACAGCAGCAGAGACGTGGGCACATTACAGTACAGTAGCATGGCCATGAATGCCTCTGCCTGGATGTGATGGAACCAAATGAAGCCAGCCATCCCTGCTGCAGATCTGCGTTTAGATCTGACAGCCAGACAACAAATTCAGAACAGACCAGACACTAATGCTTGTATGGAGTTTTTCTTTTTTTGCTTTCATTTTATGCACAGATAGATGTTAACACCAGGTGATGCCTTCATGACCAGTTGCAGAAATGGTTTTCTTTTAATATAGGGAGCAGTTCCATTAAGAGAAGTGAAGTCTTTGAGGAGTGGTGACTATCCTCCCACACATAGAAAGGCCGTCTGTCTTTCTACGACCAAACTCATTAACCAATGTCATCAGCTAATGAGCCTGGACATCTCAGCCCCGCCCCGATTTGAAACCCACACTGTTGCTAATGCATCTGTACGTGTCAGAGGAACGCACGTCCTGCTAAAAGAATCACTTCTTTAATGGTAGAGACCGAGGAAGAGGGTGCTGTGTTTCAGATAGCTTTGGCTGAGCTAAGCACAGGACAGCAACTACATTAGGCGGGGTGTCATAAAAGCACTTGGGTTTTTTTGCAGCTATATGGGTTGAGGCTCAAGGAGGTGTGGCTTTTTGCCGCTAACTGACTCACACTCGTTAATGTTGTGACTCTTTCGAGCAGCGTAAAAACCTGGCAGACGTAGAAAAAGAAAAAGATTGGGGTGGAGGTGAGATGAGGAAAAAAGGGAGGGAGAAGGTTTGTTTTTTGTTTTTTTTTAGAAAAAAGTCAGGAAAGCAAGAGAAACAGGCACAGGAAGGTTTCTGGGTCTAAAAAGAAGAAGGTGTGAGAACAGTTTTGGATATCACAGAGACAAAAATAAATTCCAAATTTCATCACTGCATAATTATTTACCACAGTATCTGGCCTTTACGTAGCTATAGATACACTAAATGTTTTTTTCTCTGGTAAAATACACTCCAATATAACTTAATTATAATGTACACACTTAAATATATACATAAATACTGCAGAAATAAAAAGTCACCATTAACATTTGCTACTTACTAATATGTTGACATGCATTTAGTATGAAAGTCTATCAGTAACAAAGCATGATTGCACTAGCATGGGTTAAAATGAACTAAATGAGGTGGAGGTGAGGGGGAGCCGTCATGGAGTGAAGCAGAAATCTGAGAACTCACATCACTCAGTATCACACAACAGCATTTGTGACACAATCACAAACTGTGTCACAAATTTCATCAGTTCATCTTCTTCCAGTTTGGACAAAGATGGCTGTCAGATTTATCCTCTGTTAATCTGCGCTGAGTCATCACTGAGAAATTTAATCCCATTAATCTCATCTGGTCCGTATCACTTTAAATGACAACCAGAGAGAGACTATAAGAGGGAAGAGAGAGCAGTCATCAAAACAAACACCACCGCACTCCCAAACTGTGAGGATGCAAAAGGGGGAGGGGGGGCACCTCTCTCCAGTCCCCTAACAAGCCGATCCGCCCCTCGCCGGTGGTTATGACCTCCTCTGTCTGTGGAGATGTACAATGTGCAGAGGGAGAGTCTGTCAGAGAAGTCGAGCTTTGAGAGGATTCCCTGATCCTCCCAGCGCTTTACAGCCACAACATGACTCTGCATAATAACGGGCCACTCAGTGACGTGTTTGAGCAAATGAACTGCTACTTCAAGCACCATACTGGTGGTTCTGCCTGTTTGTGCTCTTTAACTACAAATCATGTATATTTCACATTATTGCTGATCATTTTCCAAAGCATGCCATACCCTTTAGACTGGTTTCCTATTTTTCAGACCCCCACTTGGGTTTTCTGTCATTTTAATACATTTTGAAAATCAGCTGGTAGATATTTGAGACATGCTTGAAATACTGCAGTAGACTGTGCTCTATCACAGTAAATGTGGTACTTAGTTACACTATTATTACACTGTAATGCATTTTATATGCAGGGACTACTTAGAAGACCCCTTCCTTTATATTCAAGGTGTTTTGAGTCTACGTTGTGGTGTCCGCTGTCAAGGGCTAATGTATACAACATAAGCATTAAATTAACATTAATTAGTATATATTAAGTAAGTATTAAGTATATGATTTATCAGATGTAATATGTTCACTTCCCACAAACATGTTTCCACTGCCAAAGATTTTAGTTTTTGCTGCTAAAAAACATCACAAGTCCAATTTTAGCCAATTTTAGCTGCAAGATTTAAGTAAAAGACCCAGAGAGAATCGATTAAGCCTGAGCAGAAATGCACCCGGGAAGTTAGCAGTGACATGAATCAAACCTAATGAATATTAAAAGATCTAAACCAGGAAATGTAGCAGACTTTAATAATTGAGAGGCTGGAACCAGTAAATGTTTGGCTGTTTGGCTTGAAATGTGACGAAAGTGATTGATCAGTAATAAAAATGATTGATTTTTTTTTTTTTTAATGGACTGATGGGATCATTTTTTCTGCTCTTATATAAAGTTGTTTGTATTCATGAAGCCTTCTGCATTGTCTTTCATTTTTTGTTTATTAGTAATTGCTCTGGAGTTTATTTTATTTTTTTGTCTTCTATACAGTGGTCCATTACATATATATATATATTTTACTTACCTTTATTTTACCTTTATTTTATATTTTACTCATAAATCTAGTAATCTATATATATCTAATAAATCTATTACAACTGAGTATTATCATTGTAAAATTAAATATGATTATGAAATTACATGGCCTAAAAAATGTTATTAGGTATTTAAAAAGTTTAAGTAAAGACCAATGAGTAGCCCTGAGTGTTGTGAGATTGTCTAGTCAGGTGCAGAAAGGGTTCGCATTTCTGCGTGAGCTGTCAATTATCACTTGCAAGACCTTAAATTTACGTCACAAGCTAATGTAATTTGATTCTTGCCAGACCACAATTACAGAAGTTCAATTGGGGGCTCAGATTGCAAACCTAGTTGTAGCTCTGAGGCATGTTGTCAGAAAATCAATGAGATGTCAGAGCTTCTTTGAATGCAGCTACATGGAGACTTACCTGCTCACATCTGCATTACAACCTGATATACATTCACTCTGATAACAAAATAAAGGCAGGACATGTTCACTGGTATGGATTGTATATCCATAGCGAGTTTCCAGTTTCTGCATGGGAAACAAATATCTCCCTGGAAGGCAGGGAATAAAATTAGGAGTGAATTAAAAGCTTTGGAAAATGGTCAACAGTAATATATCTATATTTATCTACCAGGCTAAAACATATTAATCTCCTGGTGGGGTTGTTTAGGACCCTGTCTCTTTCATTATTACGCCAGTCAAATCAAAATGAAATGCAGCTGTTGGCTCATCTTGAAATCTGCATCACAAGTCAACAGCAAGTTAACACTGAGTCTGTATCATTGACCACTGAGTAAAAAATCTACACTATTATACCAATAATTAACAAATGAGACAACAAAATCAAGCCTGGAGGTCACTCCTGTAATGAAGTGACTCACTCAAGTTCTTGATTTTATGTCTTCATTTTGAAAACACATTGTTGGTTATGAACCGATGGCACATGGAGTGAATGGGATGGAGAAGAGGAGGGAATTTGTTGAGTTGGGATGATGCTCTGCAAGATGCAATATTTTAAAATATTTGTTTGTTCATCTATAGTCCAGGACAGTGTAAGAGTATTAGGCCAAAAATAAATATATTTGTTATATTATGCAATGTATGAAACATGCTGCGTCTGTGTAAAAATGTAGATACTATTGTGGGTGCCAACCTCTTACAATCTCCCATGGGTCTACATCCAGCATGGTCTACAGGAGATGTGGTTCACTGCTATTGATACTGATATACAGTGAAAACTTGGGTTGTTTCTCTCAAATCTGTTCCCTTCTGTTTCACATGTGCTATTGGCTCAAACAGCGGTGAGAAATCACCTGGACAGGGGCGAGTGAGCTGCTGCCAAACAGATGCAAGTGCAGCAGAGAGAGCGAGGAGTTCAGCACCTCTGACTGTTTTCATAGTGAATCAGGAGTTTTTAAATAGAGGCAGAAATTAATCCTCTTTTCTCATTTGTGACTCATTCTCCTCCGTGGAGGGGGGAGTTGATAACAGCATCCATTTGGAGGAAGATGGAGGCCAAGAGGGATGCATGTAACTGATGAGTTGTTAATGTTAATGAGCTGTAAGTGAATGAAAGATGGCTTGTGAAAGAGGAATCAATGTTATATTGGAGTCAATGTTATATTGGATGTGAGGCTCTGGTGACTCTGTCCAACCCCTCTGAGGCACTGCTCTGGGACAGGAGCAACCCTCGCTCCCCTCCATCTTTTGGGGCCCCTGGTGATCCCAGAGGGCCCCTGTGTCTCTGTATGTTACTGTTCCCACTGCACGCACAGACTCCTTCACCTCCACGTTGCGCACGGAGGGGTCTGGGGCGGCTTCGGGCCAGTCAGGCAACTCCTGGTAGCCCCCAGCCTTGGCATTCAGCAGGTGGGATAATGAACCCAACTGGAAGTGGTCTCGATCTGCAAAAACACAGGAAAAAGAACTGAGTAAAGCAGAGGTAAGCGCAACACTTAGGTCATCTTAAACCACTTGACCAGGGACAGACCTAGACCAGTCTCTAACTGGGGTCCCTTCATCAGACAGAACTGAGACAACCATGCCCCTCAGTGTTTTTTCAACAGTGCGAATATCTGTATATTAATGGATAGATGAGAGCGTCATTGTGAGCCTTAGTAATGCCAAAAAATATTGATAGTGCAACATCAAAAAAGTTATTTTATTGGGAGGATAATCATACTTTAATTTTTGGAACTGAAGTTCCCATAACTTGGGGGCTTTGGTAGATGTAAACAGGAAGTACAATGTTGCCAAGGAATTTGTTCATCAACTGTGGTTTACAGCCTGAGCCCCGTTTTTTAGCCTATATTTGTTTACATTTTGGCAAATTGGCATCTAGCCGACTTAGCTGTTAGCAGTTCCTGTTTGCAACACACTCATTGATATACACACAACTATTATTGGAATACTCTGAATCTGAAGAAAAACATGATCATTTTAACGCAAATTCTGGAGCTAAAAGAAGCAGCTTTATTCACTCAGGTTTTGGGGAAACTAAAAATAAATGATCAAAAATGACGGGACTGTGTTAGCTTACTTCTATGTGTGTGGCTGTGATCAGGTGAGAATTTTTAAGTGCCTTCTTTACCTTTAAATGGAGACTCGAGGACTGGTGCAGGTTTGAGGGCGAGGAACAGTTTTTTAGCGTACTTGCTAAGAGCCCCACTCTTCTCAGTGGGCACGATGAGCTGGCGAATGAAGCGTGCCCGATCACGGATGTCGTAGTTCTGGTCATACTTGGCCAGGTTGAGAACATACTGCGTCAACAGTTTGGTCTGTGAGGAGAAGGGAATATTAGGAACATGGAGTATGAGGAGACAATCAACAAGAACAGCTACTATCTAATGTATTTATGCATGCACAGTATATGAGTATGTCCTACTGTAGATATACAGTATGTGTTCAATGGTGCTAAGTAACAGTGAATAAGTCATAATAAGGTATGATATGATGACCCAAATGTAAATGAAAGGTAGTGAACATTCCTTTGGGTAATTAGTTGATGAGTTGCTGGGTGTTTCATAGGGTGAATTAGAGGGTTGCAAGGTGGTTGTTATGTTACTATGAGTAATTAGTAAGGTGTTACTAGGTAGTTATTGGAGTGAGTCAAAGGGTTGCTTGGTGGTTGCTACGGTGTTCTGGGTAGTATGTAAGGTGTTGTTGCTAGGTAATTACCAGAGTGAATTAGTGGGTTGTACTGAAGTACTATACATAAAGTACAATTTTTAGATACTTGTACTTTATTTGAGTATTTTTATGCAACATTACACTTGAACTCCCATATATTTCAGAGGGAAATATTATACTTTTTACTCTACTACATTTATCTAATAACTTGAGTTTTAATGTTTTATAAGGGTTTAGATAAGATTAGACTTTATTAATCCCTGGGGGCACATTCACAAGCTATTCATACCTGCTTGGAGTTGGTGAGATACAGCTTGGCAGCCAAATTGATGATTTGTAGCTTGACAATATCCTCTTCATTAGTGAAAGACTTGGCCATCTTCCTCAGGACATCCGGGGCAATCTTAGGTACATGCTCACAGTACTCTCCAATGAGCCACAAGATACTGGCCCGTGCCATTGGCACCTGACAACACAGGTTAAATTACATGGTTACAGTATGTACACATCTATTGTTTCTTCCAGTAATGAACAGAGATTTAACTTTGTTAAGGTACACATTATTTTGCAAGCTTGCTTTCATACAGCATCTTTACATACACATTTAAAATCCAAAAAGAGTTTGCGAATGAGTCTCTCACCTGGATGTTGTCTGTTAGTTTTGCCATGTGCTTGATGATGTCGCTGTGCTTCTCTGGCTGCATCTGCAGCAACTTCTTGATAACAACCACAGACTCGGCTACAACCAACTCTGTACGACAGGACAAATTCATTTAAATCATAAATGAACGTTGAATGAAGTATTCTTTCATCTATACATTCTTTCATCTTCTTCTATTCTTCATTCAATTCAAATTCAGTAACTTACTTATTTACTGAGGAAACACTCTGAAAATGGTTCCTCATTTTCATTCCTTATTTGTTTAAGTTAAAATATGTTTTTTATGTTCAGTCCATGTCTCTGTGATTGCTATCTAGTCTTCTCAATCTTATTATTGTCTGTCTGACCCCAATTTATTCACCATGCAAAAAAATGTATTTTATAATTTACAAATGCTAACGACTAAGCTTGATTAGTTTAAACTATTGACCTAATATCTGATAATAATATCTGCATCATTTCATTCCAATTATATCATATGTACCATTTAAAAAGCATCTAGAGTATGATATTAGAAGACTTACCATCTCTGTTGGACAGCAGCTGCACCAGGCCGTTCAGACACGTGTCCCTCACCTCTCCGATGTTGGTCGCACAGCGGCCGATGGCTTGGATTGTAGCAGCCACAAAGTCTTTATCCATACTTTTAATGTATGTCTACCAGAGAAAATATTCACTTAGCACAGTAATACATAAAGGACACCTACTGCTGGCAAATCACTCACTGCTGAGGGACACGTCTGCACAATTTTTTATTCCGATTGAAGACAATATTCAATCAAGTCATTTCACTGTACCTGAAACTCTCTGAGAATGGTGGAAATGTTCGTCTCATTAGCCAAATTGGTGAGAACCTCCAGCTGCAAAACACAAGACAAAACGTGTCTTTTTTGAATACTGCACAGTAAACCTAAATTAAAAAGGAAACACAAAACTGCATTTACTGTAATTACTGCATAGCCTTTTTTGATAGCGTTGTTTACTTACTAGGACTTGTGCCAAAAACTGAGCCTTCGAATTTTGACTTTCTTTGGATTGATTTGGCATGGCAAGGTTACAATATGCTTTGGTTGAATGAGTTTGGTTGAAATTCAGTACTGTTGCTTTCACCATTCACAATGACAGAAATAAATTACACCCACACAAAATGCACTTTTTGACAGTTTGATGTTTTCTTTTTTTATGATATCTTAACATGTAATTTTCTCCACTTGTTCTAAGAAAATAAAGTGTAACAGGGCTTAAAATATTTAATAAACTGTAAATATCCATAATTTAAGAGAATTCATTTCCCTCCATTGATTCAGAGTATAAAAGAGAAAAGGATGGAGGCATAATTAAGACTGGAGGAACAATAGAGTAGGTAGGATAGAAAAGAAAAGAACCTTAAGGACTTTGATCTGAGTTGGGTCTGTGGAGCGGATGTAGAAACTCTTCAAGTATGGCTCAAACATCCCCTGTGAAACATAAAGACAGAAAGACGAAAAAGAGCTCAATGAACCTGCAGCTCCACCAGCATTTGTTTTCAAGTTTTACACACACAATAACACATAAAAAATACCACCAGGTGTAACTCACCCTTCTCTTGATCGTCATTGTTGCCACATTCTGAAGAACAACATACTGGACTTCGCTGGAGGAAGAGACAGAAACGGGAGAGATTGACGGAGAGTAGGAGTAGAAAAAAAAGAGATAATCAATAAAATGTCCATTTGCCTTCCCCTGTGTACTTGACCTGAGACACGCTGTGGTCATATTGGAGGGCCACAGCTCTTCACAGCAGAAGTAATATTTATTATCAAGTCACTCCAAACTTGCCTCCACCCAACATCAAGCTGAGTAGAGGTTTAATCAAATACCTGAAGTGTGCAGAGCATTTAAAGCTGTGATATATGAATTTAATGCAATTTCACTTAGCCTCCCACCTGCTACACCAACTACTGACCTGCTGGTAGCCATTAGTGTGCATATGAATGATGGTACAAAAAAGTCGGCACCAAATTGTCAGAAGACCTGGTCACAAAATTTAATTAGTGAGAAAAACAGCAAAGCAGTTAGACTATATATTCTGACAAATAGGGTTACATTTGCTGAAAACTAAATTAAACTTATAAATCTATTCATAGAAACGTTAATATTTGCTGCTTTGTAAAATGATCCTGCTGGACAGGTAGCTAACAAAAACATGTTAAGTTAGCTGACTCTTCTCAAGCGAACAATAGCTATGCCATATTATTAACAACATAATTCCCAAAAAAACTTTAAAGGGGCTATTTGTAAGTTTTCTCTGCCACCGAACGTGGTTTCTTGCCAGGAGCGGGTGGTGGTGATTGTTGCTTGACAAGAGCTTTGGTCATCGTCTTTATAATGCAAGAGGTTTTAATTCACCCTCTGAGCAGCGCTACGTCTTCAGGGCAGATTGGAGGTTACAATGAGTTGCTATCAGAAAGTGACGAGATGGGCCAGAGCTAACTGGTTTAGTGTGCTAAGTAGAGGAAAAGACGTGACGGAGACAAGACAGAGACATTTGTGTTGCTTGCCACCTCTGGAAACAGCTGTTGGTGAGCAAAGGAATGAAGTTTGATGCTGAACTCACAATGTTTCTGCTAGACTTGTAAGTCAACAGCTGTTAATGTTAACGCTGGCTATGTAGCAATAGCGAACCTTACAAATAGTTCCTTGGATGTTAGCTGTCTAGTTTTAACTCTGAGTTGGATATATGAGAAATTTCTCACAGCTATGATATCCTCACTTGACGAAAAGGATAAAGTGTCAGTAAAATAAAAACATTTGGCAAAATGGCCGCAAAGCCGCTATAATTAGCAGTCACATCTAAATAAAATCCTATATTAACACTAATACAATCTTTTCAGCTCATTTAAAGTCAGCTATAAACTATTTATTTGTATCTGGTTTCATTTATTAATAAACTGCACAAAAATAGTAAATCTAAGTTATTTATCTGGTAAGACTACAAGACTGGAGGTAACCACCCTGGAGTAACCCTTACCCTAACCCTAACGCATAGGACTCCAGACCTGACTTTTCATCTTCATGCATAGCACATAGCACTTTTCTGTATTTTTGACTGCCCTAATAAAATTTAGTTTTCAATTCACGTAGCTTTACATCTGAATTTCTGTACATCTGCATTTGGGGAATGAGACCAATAAAAAATGGTTTAAAAAGTTGTGTAACTTTCTTGCTTAATATCTAGAAATTATTATTCAAGGTGGTAAACCAATGTAGTTGTAATGAGAGCTGAAACACCACTGACTCCATACAAATAATGAAGTCTAATGAAACATAATCATACAATACAATGGATTTCAGACAAATCCCCCACAGGGAAATGTTGCTGTTTGGCCTTTTATGAATGATGATCTCATTGCAGCACACCCCGAGCCACAAGAGCACTTGTTCAATAAGAAGCTGACAGTCTGCAGGACTTACAGCCAAAAGGCCACCCATGTGCTGTCATCACTCCTGATGCTTTATGCCTTCATGTTTACCTCAGCCTCACTGAGCTCCCTGTTTAATTTCACTTTCTCCATCAGGGCTATAAAGATTCGTTTACTCCCCTCACTTGTCATTTTCTTGTTGTCATACTGTTTTCCGCATTGCTGAATTTCATGGTCATTACGGCTTTCTCTTATCACATTCAGCTGTGTGTTTTTGTCAGTTTGAATAGTGTTTTGTTCCTTTTCAAGTTAGACTCATGAACACATCTCTAGCCTTAGCTCCACTCTCAGCCACAGTACAATAACGTTGTGAGATGGCTCACTACTACTGGCTCAACTACTTTTGGAATGCTTCACTGCCAAAATCTATAATAATAATAATTATCATAATTACTATTATTTTAATAAACTTTATGCTTAATGCTTCACAGGCATTAAAAAGCATCGTGCTGCAATCATGAAATGGAGACTAGCGCACACGATGAAAGATACCCTTATAAAGGATTTATAAACAGTTTATAATTAGGTTGTTAATTTGGTTGCTAACACTTTATAAATCATAATTAAACAATTATAAACAAGATATAGGCTCACTATTTGGCAAGATCAAATACTACTCATTAATCTTATTAATGACCTCCTACCATGTGTAAAACACATCACCATTTATTAATGAGTTACAATAAGGCTCCTTTTTACCAGTTATAAATACTAGTAACTCATTAGTAAGATAACGAGTAGTTAGTATCAACTGGATCTTGTCAAATAGTGAGCCTGCATCAATATATGAAAACTGTGTTATAACTTGTTTATAATTGTTTATTTATGATTTATAAAGTGTTAACAACCAAATTAACAACCCAATTATAAACCGTTTCATTATAAACGTGGTCTCATTGTAAAGTGGTACCAGAGTTTGAAAGGAGGACACTGAGGTAAACGGATGGTTACTCAGCTGAGGAGCCCCAAAGACAAATGCCCTACCACCCTCTGTCTCAAGCTGATCTGCAGATCTAACAGAGCGAGACGACGAGCGAGAGTGTAAAGGGTGAGAGGGTCAATGATATAAGATGGGCCAGGCCGCTCAGTGATTTAATAACAAGCTGTGGCTTATCAATCTGAATAGACAATTTATTTGAAATGATAGCCAGTAAAGCTCACCTGTGGCTCCTAAGGAGACGGACCAGGGCCTTGGCGATCACCCCAACCTCTGCTTTAGGGGCAAGATGGAAATACAGCTGAGCCACAGCCATCACCACCTGGAACGTGCAGGGAATGAGAAAAGAGAAGCAGGGCTACATCTTACGCAGTGGTACAATCTCACAATATAAAATACAGTAAAAGGCTGAATACAATGTACCAAGTCTCACTGGGAAATGTGTCTAAAAAGCTTTTTTCTCTGTGGAAAATTCATTAATTACAACAGTCTATTACCAGTGCATACAATTCCTTACACTGCCTCATGCTGCAGTGCAGATGTGTTGAATGTGTTTTGCTCTGGGCTAAAAGTGAGAAGATTAAAAGGTTTTAAAAGTTCAAGACACGATCTGGCAATAAATCATTCAAGTTTGTGTTGTTTCAGTCCTTTAAGGTCTCAGTCAGCATATTGCACACAATTTATACCTGCATTAACTGATTCTTTTTTTTTGGACACTTAGCAGCTATGAACATGACATTGATACATTGCCTTATAAAGATGTGTGTGAATGTGTTAGCAAATGGAGCAACAATAGCCACCTTGCGAATGTCAGTCCAAATATAGCTATGTTTTGTTCTCCACCACCTCCTGAGGGAAACATCTGGCTCTTCAGCTGCTTAATGCTCCCCTATGTTCACTGGCTAGTCGCTAACTTCATCTGTTGCTGTTTGGTGCGGAGAATTTAGTGTACAGTTGATTTTTAGAGCCTTTTCTCTGAAAACTGCTGCCTGTTGTGCCGAGTGCGGTGAAAGTGAACCACAACAGTAAAGCCAGACAACTGCAGATTCAGGTGAACACAAAATGCCAAAAACTTCAGTTCCTCTAATGACCACTTGAGTCTGGCTCCAGCAGTGAGTCAATCCCCATCGACTCCCATCTTAAAATGTCCAACTTTACAAAAGAAATAAACATGTTTACAGCCTGGTACAAAAAACAGTTTCGGTCTTTACAGCTAATTTCCCCCTTCACTGTGATGAAGGGGTGAATTTTTATATAACTCACCTGTTTAAATTTTATGAAGGCTTAAAGGTATACATAATTGATTACGAGTCACTTTAAGTAATAGGTGGGTTAGTGTATGCTTGCCAAAAACCAGCATGCACGAAGTCTCAACTCCAGACACGCCCCATGTCTTTGCCCATTTACGGATTTTGGAGCAGCCCTGTCTGAGCTGTAAAACTGCTCTTCAGAAACCTATGGGTGATCACAGAGGCTACACCCATCTTCATATACAATCTGTGGGAAGCACATGTATGTGGCATTTTACCACAGATATTCACTCAACAAACACTCAACAAATTCAACTATTTGAAGTGACATAAGGGTAAAGAGAACCCATTTATGAATTGCTTACTAGGTGCAACACAATATGCTGCGTTGAAAGCAATTACAGAGGACATTGATAGACATAAGCAACACCTGCTTTCTTTTTACGCAGCCTAGAAGCTTAACAGCAGAAGACAGAATAATGTGTGACAAGTGGATTTTATAACATCTAACATGGAACAAAACAGGGCCGCCAAGGTGACCACAGCAGTACTAATGCAGTGTGATGCTTTATTAATTTCCTTCAGGAAATTGTCACTTGTCCCCCTTTCAGAGCGCGAGGTCAGCTCTGATTAAGGACTCTTCAGCTGGATGGATGCCTGCTAATATAAACCAAGGCCTTGATTATGAAGACCTCAATTAATCACTACACTAACCTGCTGCTCGAAGTAGAATAACTTGGGAGAGGAAACAATTGCATTCTCTGCCATGGTAACTGGCTCAAAAGGAGAATTAATGGACTGTGCTGTGTTACAATGATGTTAGCTGTGTGTATATTTTAAAAGTGCAGTGGTCTCACGGCTGCGTTGCGGCTCTGCAGCAGCGGCTTTGTGTTCCTCAGCAGCAGCCGGTGATCTGGATCCATCACGTACGGTTTCCTCTTGGCCATGGCAGCAACCTCGGCTTTCTTCTCTTTCTCCTCCTCGTCTTCATCCTCATCTTCATCTGAGCCGTAGAAGGTCTTCTCCCCGCCGCCCCCCTCCTCCAGCAGAGACTCCTGCAGAAACAGTGGTGATCAGAAAGTGTGCTGGGGGGACAAACCAAGACATAAACCTCTCTTGCATGGAAAGTAGTTACTGGCAGCTTTAAAGGTCACCAGAAGTCACCAGATGGTAATTTGCTCTTGAATATATTTGATATAAAAAAAAAAACAGCACCACCATGTATGAGAAACATTATCATTAGACCTCCTGATGTTAGACAAATTTTTTAGTGCAAAATATTTTTCACTGCATTCACTGGGAATTACCACAATAACAATGTTCAACACGGTATGACGGCGGCTCAATTTGGCGCTGGTTGCTCATGAGAAAAGACAGGTGGGTCTGAAAAACTGATAAACACAGAGAAAAGAATCACCAAGGCCGCATCGGAGAAAGAAGAAAACAATGAGAGGATGATTTCAATTTATACCTCCGCACGGTCACAATGGCAGGACTGGGAGAATATAATAATCCAACAAAATAACAGCTGTATTGTTGCAAAAAAATTTGCACCTATACACTTTTGTTGTATTGTAATCTCCTCTAAATCCCATTCTTATGCAAATTAGTTGTTGGTGACAGCACAGTGAGTAAACTCTTAGTTTTTATAGTTTGTATTAACTGCTGCAACAATCAATGAAACACTGAATCAGTATATGAAGTCTTTTATGTAACTGAATTCATTGATATACGGTACTACACAATAAGCAGTGTCTGTGTATGCAATAATAGAGTCAAAAATTTTGCCTTTGGTGTGATTCCACAGTGTAACATGGAGAAAACCGCAAAAGAAAAAGTATAGTAAATATAGCTGTGTGAATAAAGAGTGCAAAAACATATCTTAAGTTGATAACCTGATTAGTCAATGGACAGAAAATCAATTGACAAAATTTTTCAATTTACTATTTAAGTAATTTATTAATGCCACAATATTTGCTTGTTCCAGCTTCATAAATGTGAATATTTGCTGTTTTCCTGAGTTTTATTTTCCTGTAAATTAAATATTTTTTTTGGTTTATGGACAGTTGGCTGCACAAAACAAGCAACCTGAAAGCACTGTATTGAGATGATGAGATGTTTTCACTATTTTCTATCATTTTATAAACTAAATGATTTATCAGCTGATTAAAAAGCAAAACAAAACGTCAGATTTATAAATAATGAAAGTAATTTTTAGTTGTTGCACTTAACTTATTAAACACCAGGCTAATAGGCTTGACATTAGTCTTGTCACCACAGAAGAAATAAATAAAGCTGATCAACTACAGAGGTTACACTTTTATGAACTGATGACTTATGACACACTAAACATTCTGTATTCTTACTCACATTGATGTTTGGGTTGAGGAACTGGGTCCTGGCGTAGCGAGTCAGCATGTTGATGATGACGACCTGCCCCCACTCTTCCACGTCGATCAGAAGGTTACACAGCTTCCTGTAGTTCTTGTGGATCAGGTCGATGCGCTCCGGGCACACTTCCTCGAAAGCCATGACAACGCTTCCTGCCACCAACTGCAGCACAAGTACAACCACACAACAGATGATGATGTCAGGGTGATGTCCTTGAATACCTTATGTCAGGATGGTACATGTGGTCTCTGTGGATTACTGATGCACAAAATACTGTCAACATACAGTCACATCTTCTGATCAACTAGAATTAGAGCATTGTGGTTGTACGCCTCAGCCAACCAGTCAAGATGCAGGAAATATTAGCGTAGATAGCTTTGAATAATGTTGAATAATGGTGGTTTTAGCAGAACATCATTATGATGTCACAGTGAAGTTGATCATTTCATCATTTTATCTCATTAGACCTTTGTGTTAAATTGTGTCATAATTAGCATATAAATTCTTGATTTATGATGAAAAACGTGTTTTGTGAAGGCGCAGTGACCTTAACCTTTGACCTTTGACCACCAAATTCAAATCAGTTCATCTTTGAGTCCAAGTGAACGTTTGTGCCCAATTTGAGGAAATTCCCTCAAGGTGTTCTTGAGATATTGCGTTCACAAGAAAGTGACTGACAGAGAACCAGACAACATAATGCCTCCGGCCTCAGCTGTCATCAGCACAGAAGAAAACCTGTAGCTAGTGACTGAAATGCACAGCCTGTTTTTGATATATTTCTGTTACAACAGTTACAACAGCTCATGCAAAAACTTAAAGGTGAAGAGGGAGAGTGGTTAAACAAATGATAAGCCGTGAAACAACTGAAGAACTGAATGCAATCTGGTGCCGTGCACTCTATCTTTTTCAAACTTTGAATTGCATTAGTTGAGAAAAATCTGGTGAGAAAAGAAAAAAGCGGAATCAACAAAGTTCTCTAAACCCACCGTGGTTTTGTCAGCGAGGAGTTTCTCTATGACTTCAATCAGCTGGTCCTTCTGCTCCGGATCCAAACTGAGAGCAGAGAGAGATAAATCCCTTAAATGCGTGAAAGAGGAAATGTTGGAGAAAGATCGGTTGTGCTTAAAAATTATACTCAAGAGCATAAAACAGAAGGATTGCTGAAGGATGTACTTTTTACTGCCATGAATGGCTTTGATTTCACGGTGGCAATAAGTCATAACATTTGATCTTAGCCTTGTGGTTCTCAGACTGGGGATTAGAAAGCTGTAAAGTGAATTATGAATTCTCAAAAACAGATTTCTGAAACACAAATTCATTATCTATGATTCTTCTAATCATTGTCATAATAAATAGTACGCGTCTCAAATAATTGCTCAAGTAAAATAATCTGAAAAAGGAAAGTTAACATCCGCATTTGAGTTCATCATGGTGAGTCACAACACTGAGTCATAACTGTTTTGTTTTAGGGTCCTTGTAAAAATGTCCTTGTAGGTCACCTGTAAAGTTTAGGAATTGCGTGAGCAGCTGTCTTTCTCACATATGGAGACATGTCGGAGGCTGCTTCTTTGATGGCCAGCATCATTATGGGAACGATGATCGTGACTCGGATGCTGGAGAGGACTCGCAGGGCGCTGGCTCTGATCAGCTGGTTCGGATCCTGCAAAAGCACAAAGCAAAGATTTTATGATGGTCGACAAGGTTATGGCTTGGTTTAATGTGATTTGATTTGAAAAGACTATAGTGCACAGTGTTAATAAAAATAAGATTAGATAAATATTTATTCCTAAAGTTTTATTCTTAAAGTGCATCCACAGACAAATGTCACATGTGAAAACTGCTGCACCTTCAGACCACGCTGAAACGTGGAAATGGAGAGCAGAGCGAGATCCTGCTGCTCCTCAGCATAACGCACCAGATAGACGTAGACCAGCTTCTTCACCTGGAGGAAGTAAGCGGGAGAGAGGTTGTTAAAAAGAGAAGATTTAATCCAAATTATGTAGATTAGTTCAATTTTTTCCACTGAGATAAATCTAAGATAAAGCCAAGTGATAAAAACCTTAAATTTAGTTCAGGTGAGATAAAGCCAAACCCCACCGGGCTTTTAAAAAATGTGTTAAGATAATGCATAAGTTACAAACAAAGAAAATAAAAAAATAGAAAATAGAAAATAGAAAATGCCTTTTTTTTTTTTTAAACATAAAACTACTCAAGCTTAAGAAAAAAGGGCAAATAATACATGAAAGCAACCGGGCTCATTACAAACCTCTATGTTTTTGCAGGCCACATTTTTCACCACAGCAGGGAAGAGATCTGACGCGTTTTTACCTCGGGCGATCATCTGCAGAGATAACACACACCAGAAAACACAATGAGGATTTCACAAGGTGATATTTTTCAAGAGTTTGAATCATTTGTAAGAGGAGGTCCGACTTTTCTTTTTCATATTCTATTTCAGCCCCTTTAGATGCTTTTCCTCCTCTTTCGTCTTCTCTGTCCTGCAGGGATAATGAATGAAGAGATGGGTGTGGAGCTTCAGAAGCAGGAATCTGTCACAGATGATGAATATTTAAAAGCTGACTGTACAGTTCGCATCTCTTGCCACTGTAGTTATATCATCGGAAACTGCCTCTGTCTTAAAGCTTCGGGATCTTAACTACAGCACAGTTTTAATTGGATTGTGATCTACAGCTCTCATTACAGCATCATTATACAGACATCTTTACAATCAAAACTATGAAATCGATTTTGGTACCGAGAACAAGCTTTGGGTGTTTCCTGTTAGCGTAAATTAATAATGAAGAATGCTGTGTTTTGCTCAGAAACTTTCCGTGCCTCTGTCCTTCACTCGGCACGCAGCCGAATCTGCTGATCAGTGAAATCCCAGAGTAAACATTATTTATACTCACAGCCACAATCCGCTTCATTGCCTCTAGCTTCAGGGAGTCTTTGTTGCTGTCCAGCATCTCCTTCAGGTCGTCATGTCTGAGGGGAGAAAACAGTGAAAATTAGCTCACAGCTTGTTCATTTTCAGTACAGGCAATCATAAAAGACTCTGACTTCCAGGGGCCTCACACAAGAAATGCAGACCTGTTTTACAATTTCCAAAATGTATCAAACTCTGCAAGTGTGGCCCAGAAAAATGATTCTCTTTGAAGTGGGAAATCCAGCTTGCAAAATATGGAAACCTTTGAAACAGCAGCTCATAAAAGCAGAGTAATTGGAAAGTGACATAATCCCCAATACATGCCGACGTCTCATAGAGAGATTATATGTAGATATTTAAACAGGCATGGGGTGGGGGGTGGGGGGGGGCTCAGTTCAAAACCAGGAGGCTCTATTAGTATCATACAAGCTCACTTCTTTTATATTGGGTAACCAACCATGATGTAAACATAGATTCTTATAGTGAAATAATTAGTCAAGCAACAGAAAATTTATCAGCAACTATTTTGATAATTGTTACATATTTTTATGTAACATGAATCTTATGTGACAGTAACACTAAATATCTTTGGGTTTTGGAAGAAATCTGAAGACCTTTAGGAAACTGTGCTGGACATTTTTCCCTATATTCTGACATTTTGTAAACCAAACCATTAATTAAGAAAATGATTAATCAATTATGGAAATAATTGTTAGTAACTAATTCTAATATTTCCCAACTTATTTACTACAATTGCACAGTAATTATCACAAATACCTTATGTTTATGGTTGTGATTTGGAGAAAAACTTGTTTAGAAATTCAAAGAAAATTGCAGAGGGGGAGAGGAGACTTGATGTATAATACATGAAATAAAATTAACTAATGTCTAAAATCCTGTAAAAAGCCTTTTCTTCTAAGCACCAACTGCATGTACCTCTATGTGCCCACTGAAATGTCTCTGTAAAAGTATTGAAAACTGTCATGTACCAAAAGTCAGTATTTTTGTTATTGAGAGTTTTTTTTATTGCCGTTTTTAACATAATAATTCAAACACATTTATCTAGGGAGATCAAAAGACAACACTGTCAAACAAAACAACAATAACAACAACAAATAAAAGATAACACAGGAGTGTGTGTGTGAGAGTGGGGGTGTTTTTGTGTGTGTGTGTGTGTGTGTGTGTGTGTGTGTGTGTGTGTGTGTGTGTGTGTGTGTGTGTGTGTGTGTGTGTGTGTGTGTGTGTGTGTGTGTGTGTGTGTGTGTATGTGTGTGTGTGTGTGTGTGCAAACCCACTTGACATGTAACTCTCCGGCCATGTTCATCTATCATCCCAGTCGGGGACGATGGGAACAGACTTTTCTGATCACATATGAGAAGCAAGATCCTTGTGTGGGTGGATGTAAGCTGACATCTCCACACTGCCACAATACAAACACACATAAACAATACTGACAGATCCTACCAAACCTGCTGGGAGGAACCTGCAAACAACGGAGACGACAGATCTGCACAGACAGGATCACTGCTGCTGCAGCTCCCAAGATAAAGACACCAGCCTAATTGAACACTGAAAAATTCACTGATGACATTTTGAGACAGGCTTGATATTGTTTTTTCCGCTCCCTATTGTTATATAATAGAAGACAATAATTACTTCACCTTTGTCCAGTAATGAAAAACCTTTTGAATTTACTCTTATAAACCCTTCTTGTCTGGTTCCTTTTTACGCGGCCGAAACAAGTGGCGAACACGACGCTGACATGTGACCATGCTGATATGACAAACTTGTGAGCAAACAGTTGCTTATTTACACAACCAGCAGTTACAGAGCAACATTATCATTCAGTCCAATATTCACCATCTTTTATCTCTGTTTTTGGGTCTCTACCAACTCCTGAGGGAAATATATGGCTCTTTAGCTGCTAAATGCTCCAGTATGTGGAACAGATAGTTGCTAACTGTGTCTGTCTGCTGTTTGGTGCTCAACAGGTAATGAACAGATATTAGAAAAAGTTAGAAAAAGTAAGTATTGTAATAATATCAATTACAGATGTTTTTATCGACTGCACCATCTAAGCCTATAATATCATGCAATGTGAATCAGTTAAAATACTGACATGTGAATTGTAAGATATTAAAGGTGTAAAAATGGATTGTAGCAACACCTACATGCTGTTGAAACATACAGTATATGACCAGCACTGGATATGGACATCTTAATGTGGGGTATACATGAATTCATTTAATTTTGTCTTATTTCATTTTTTACAGACATAAAGACATCACTCTAACATGGCAGTGTGAGCCAAATGGGTAATTTTCTAGCCAGATGTCAAGTTACCCCTCACATTAACAACAAAACGACCAAATCAAACCAGAGCAGGCAGATGTAACATAAAACTGGATAAACAAAGAATCAGAAGTTATAAAACAGAGTGAGTCCATCTGCTGTTCAACAGTTTGTGATCAAACTAAATTTACTATTAATTTCAGACTGACAGCAACTGTGTTTTTCACAGGTTAATAGTCTAATATTTTAAATGCCTTTATATCCAGTTGTTATAATGACACAACACCACTGCCTTACTACTTCAGAAATACTGTGTTAGTGTCTGTTTGCCAGCCTATATCCATAAACAAAACTTTAGACCACCAAACAGGATGAATCCACCAGCAGAAAGACTTTTACATCTGACTCGTTTGGAGTTGTAGGTCTGACGGGTGGGGTTTGGTTGGTGGTGGGTGGGGTGACAAAATAGCTGCAGAGCTGCACATTTCCCCCAACTAGTTTCCAAGGCAACAAAGGATGCAATAAAATGAAGTTAAGTGATTTCCTGCCTTCCTGCAGAGCCTTTGTTGGATTTGACACTGTTTCCATGAGGGACTAAAGGCCTGTGGAGAAGAGCTGAGGAAACACAGTGATTTACTCCTGGGACTACAGGCTCCTCTGAGCAGAGAGCTGTGGCACTGGATCCTGTCCCTCACACTCCTGTAGCGCAGGTGCTGGATACAAAGCAATTCAGAGACTCTCTTAAACAAATGCACACAATCTTATTACCTCTGCCAAAGAGGTTATATTGTTTCTCCTGTTTGTTTTTTCTGTTAATTAGCAGGATACAAATCTATTAAAATCATTTCAGTTTTTTCATAGGCCAAAGAAGAACAAATTAGATTTGGATAGAGCCTCCATCTGACAGTTTATGAAGAACTTAACATTTTGGCTTATATGTAAATTTTGGATTCCTTCCTTCCTCAAGTTGAATTTTCATTTTCATCACACCTATTTTCCCAGCTATATAAATTGCTTGCGCAAAGATTTTCACCCCTCATTCATATTTCACCCAAATGTGGTTCATTAAATACTTGCATGAGCCTAAAAACATTTGAATTTGTTTTTGTTGATATGCTACACTTCTATCATGGCCGTATTTAAATGGCCATAAGGCTGTAGTCATGAATCTGACTTCCTTGAAATTTGGCAGAATTTATCATTAAGTCCTAATACTCCTGGACAGATTTGGAGTATTTATTAAAAATCATCACTGTCATCAGCCAATTACACAACCATATGCAGATTTTTATTTCTATTAGTAAAATAACAAATAGAAGCTTGTGCAGTTTGTATATGTGAATATGAGTCCTGATCTTTAGAGTTTACAGCAGTGAATGGGGGCCTTGCAGTCTGTAAGGAGGTGGCTGCCGCAGAACACAGTTAATTTATCACGACTCTGCCTCAAGTTTAATGTGTGTGTGTGTGTGTGTGTGTGTGTGCCTGCACACGTGCGAGTGTTTCTGAGTGTGTTTCTGTGTGCTAAGAAGTATTTTTGCAGTCATCTTCATCAAAGTGTTAATAATTGCATTGCATGAACAACATAGTTCACTCTGTCACACACTTCAAAACCTAAATTCATCAAAGAGAGTCAAATTAAACCTGACAGTATCTATAAAATTCTGTTTGCCAGGGATTATTTTTGGACACGAGCCGTGAACTGACTATGGTCTCTTAGTTACAAATATGTGGCTGTGCCCCAAAACAAACTGAGAAAAATACTCAGAGATATACTCAATTTAAAGATAACTTGCCATAAGCACTGAGTGCCCAGACATGAGGATGAGTAATGCTAATTCAGATTTTGAGCAGAAAATTAGGGTCCCACTGGTTAATTTCTTCCTGTGAAATCCTGATGATGGGTCGCAGCCTTTGGCCATGACTCCAGAAATATGTGCATTTCTATCAACTAGTCTTTTTTATTACAGCCTGAACCTCCTCTATCCACTGTCTTTGAAGCCAACTTCTAATCCCGAAATGTTATTTTGTTCAGTTTCTGCAAGATTTAAAAGCAAAACTATGAAATAAAAGGGAAACCCAAAACACCGAAAAAGGATCTCTTGGTGACATAGTTTGGATTTCTATACCTATTATCTATTTCTATTTGTCATCTGGTTGTGCATTTTTGTATTTTTCTTATACTTTTAATGACTGCACACACAGTTTGTCTATACCCATGTAGTGGCTCTTTGAGGCTGACAACTAAAGCTAAATTCTAACATCAGCAGCATGCTAACATGCTCAAAATGACAACGCTGACATGCTGTTGGTGCACAGGTGTAATGTTTACCATGGTTGCTATCTTAGTTTAGTCGTTAGCATGCTAACATTCACTAATTAGCATTAAACACACATTATAGTTTGGCCTGGGAGGGTCATTAGTTTAGCATATAATTTGGTTATAAACCAATTCATTACAACTCATTCAACAGTTGTTGAGACATTTCACTCAAAACCAAAAAATCGACCTCATGGTGGCGCAACAGGAATGCTAAGGGGATCACCAAAGTCATTCGGAGTCATCCTCTGAGGACCATGAATGTTTGTACCAAATTTTAAGACAATCCACCCAGTGGTTGTTGGAATATTTCAGTCTGGACTAAAGTGGTAGAAAAACCAACATTACCATCCCTAGAGCCAAATCGCTAACATGGCTAAAAATCTAAATCATCATCAATGGTGTAGAAAGCATTAGATTTTAGCATCTGAGGTTGTCTTTTTTTTGCAA